GCTCCATCGGCGCCTGCAGTCTCTGTTCCCGGAGGTGGCTACGGCACTCCCGGGAAGCCTTCCAGCCCTGCTGCTTCGTCCAGCCCTGCTGTGACTCCCTCTAGCGAGGCTTCTCCCGAGCTCCCCTCCAGCTCCTCTGTAGCCATCCCCTCCTTCCCCGGAACTGGCAGCCTCCCGGCGCCTTCGTTCCCTGGAACTGGCTCGGCTCCGGCTGCGTCAATCCCCACTGGCGGCTACCAGGTCCCCAGCTTCCCGGCCAGCGGTGTCTCGACTCCTGCCACCTCGGCCGCAGCTCAGACTCCTGGCGTGTCCTTCCCCGGAACTGGTACTGCTCCTATCCCCACCATCCCCGGAACTGGTGCTCCCAGCTTCCCCACCAGCGGCTTCTCTTTCCCCGTGACTGATGTTGCCAACTCCACTGGTGTTCCGGAGTACATCACCTCGGTCATCTACACCACCCAGATCTTCACCTCGACTGGCTGCCCCCAGACCGTCACTGACTGCCCTGCCTCGTCGACCATCCTGATCACCAGCACCATCCCGCTCACGACCACCGTCTGCGAGAAGACCGCCACTCCCGCCTCTGTCACTCCTGAGGCTTCCACCGCTGCGCCCGTTGGCTCTGCTCCCGGCTCCAGCTATGGCACTGGCGAGACCCCCTCGGCTGTCACTGAGGCTGTCAGCACCCCCGTGACCGAGAAGGTCCACGTCTCCACCGAGACCCTCGTCTACACCGTCGGCACTGGCTCGTCTGCCCACGCTGTCACCACCGAGGTCGCCACCACCTCCACCGAGACCATCTACAAGACCATCTACATCACCAAGCCTGCCGCGGAGACTCCTGTCGCTTCCGTCTCCAAGGAGGGCGTTAGCTCCGAGGCTGCTCCTACTGGCGAGGCCACCACCTACACTACCCTCGAGTCTACCTCCACCACCACCAAGCTCGTGACCGTCTACCCCTCTGCCTCTGCTCCTGCCGCCAACGTTCCCGGAAACGGCTATGGCACTGGCTCCAACACTGACGTCCCTGTCGAGGGTGCTGGCTCTCAGGTCGCTCCTACTGGCGGCGCTGCTACTGGCGAGTGCGCCCCTCCCACCACTGTCACCGTGACCAAGCAGGAGACCGTCACCGTCACCGCTGGCCAGGAGCAGCCCACATCTGATGTGCCTGCTGAGGGTGAGAATGTCAGCTCTGCTCCCTACGTTCCTGCTGAGTCCACTCCTGCCACCGACAACTCCCCGGTGCCCACTGGTGTGCCCTCAGCGCCCTCAGTGCCCTCAGCCCCCTACCCCGCAGGTAACGGCACCGTTCCCTCGGGCGCTTCGTCTGGCTTCCTCACTCAAACCCGCCCTGTCGGCGGTGCTCCCTCCGCTCCTTCCGGCGGCTTCAGCTACCCTAAGCCTTCCGGCACTGGTATCCCAATTGCCCCGGTCCCCTCGTCCGCCACCACTCCTCTCCCCAGCTTCGTTCTCCCCACCGAGAGCTCAGCTGTCCCTGAGACGAGCGCTGCTCCCGTTGGCGGCGAGAGCTCCTCCGCTGCTGCCTCCACCCCTACCCCGGCTCCTCCGGCCGGCGGGTATGGCAACGGCTACAGCACCGGCGGCAGCCACAAGCGCTTCTTCGGCATCTTCTAAGCGGCTTGTTTGATATAGAACGGTCACGAACTTTCACTTCTGTACACATTTTGTGAAGCAGCCTGTGGCTCTTGCACATGGCATCTATTTATCGCATAGGCCGTGTGGCCTCGTTATTTCCTTGTGTCTGGGTCTGGGGTGATTTGAGCTGGCTCGGGCAAAAATGTGGTAGGGAAAGACTAGTACGATAGGAGTGTCAATTGACTGTCTTTTTTCTCCATGTCATCACTTTCCACGACCATGGTGTTCTACAGGAGTTTGGGAGATTAGAGCAATCTCGTATTCTGTTTCGTTTCCTTGCAATTTCTTTTGTTTCAGATTCGCACTAGAAGAGACAGTCTTTCGTTCTAGGCTAGAGCAATTTGAAAACGCATCTGATACTAGGCTTTCTATCTTTGGCTTATGGACAAGCAATGTTTGTCATGCGATGATTGACATGTCGCATTGATTGAGTGACACTGACAGGTGTCTGTTCTATTCATGCTCGTGACATGACGTGCCTTGACATTGCCGTGACGTCCATGCAGACGGACGGGGGCTGTGCAGTTCATGCGCGGCGTAACTTTCCTCTTTTATTGACTTGTAGATCCCAGACGTCGAGTCAGACCTTGAACGTTCTGGTGGCAGGCGCGGGCTAGGGGCTCGAGAACGTAATTAGGTCGGTGGAGTCGCGGGGGGATTAGAATTACGCCGTGGTAATCACCGGTGCGCGGGATGACGACGGCTGGTGGGTAGGTGGTGTGTTTGGGGACACGAGATCGCGATCATCGTGTTAATTTGACCCCGCTGTGTGTCGTGAGACTAAATGAGGGTGCGAAATTTTTAAAATGAAATGTACGAAGGCGTATTTGAAGTTGCATTTGAAGTTGAAGTCTCGACTCATTTTGGTGGACGCTGGTGTGTGGTATTACGCTCATCCCGTCTTGCTCTGCACACTCAATCTGCGTGAACACCTCCCTGCATCCAGCATGCGAGTTATCGTATCAACGCGCAGCACGATACGCAGGTACAGTCGTACAACGCTCGGAACCTGCTCAGCTCCCACCCGCCCCATTTCCGCTTGTCACACGTGCCACAACGTCGTTTGCGTTGAGCGGCGCGCAATCAGCGGGCGGTGTGTGGCTGAGTTGTCTTACAGGCACAGCATGTTTCCGTCTCATCCCAGACGTACAGGAAGGAAGAGGGAAGAAGGCGATGTATGTTTCTATGCGCGACATCATGATGTGCTCAGGCAAGAGCTGCATGCACCGCACCGCATGTGTGGGACCTGAACCTGGGAGCAGGGTCACATTGCAGTGCAGTCGCCCTGCAGTGTGCCGTACATATACGGTGTGCGTATGTATGTACGTATCGATAGATGTTGTGTGACTCGCAGCTGTGCGGGTTGCGTCACCCGCGGCGTGGTCCTGCAACAGTACACATGGCAATTTTTGTGATATTTGTACTCTTGAGAACTAACGTAAAATTCGATTTAGCCTCATCAACCATAGTCATCAAGAGTTTGCTTTGGTCGACGGGTCTTACCGTTTGTCCTTTTGGCTCGATTCTGCCGGAAGTAGGCAGGAGACAAACTCATAGGGCTCTATTGCGTCAAGAGTCTATGATCGTCGATTAGGCGCTCGTGCAGATTTCTGCATCTTCACGAATGGTACGTCAATGTAACTGCGGTTTCCCTTCTCTTCGAGTGAAAGTTCTCATTGTATTTCGGATAGGAGATTCTGGAGGCTTCTATGCTACCGCCAGCATGCAGCTCGCAAGTGGATGCAGTCATTCTCTATAAGGCCACTTACATTTTCATCGAAGCTAGACTCAGTCTTGTGGTCGGTAGTTTCGTTGAAGACATGCGATTCGCCGTTGGTCCAAAACGATCTCTATGCGCTCTCTAGATGGATCATGACGCATTTCCCACTCTAGTCCCCGTAATCGTGCGTGGCGATCATTCTTTTCCCCTCAAAATCCTTACACCAGGCCAATAGTTTGCTTATCACCTGAAGCTATTTACAAGTCGACATACCTATAAGTGCTGTGGTCATTCCACAGCCTCTTCGGCTTGTAGGTGGCATAGAGGCTTCGTGATTGATTACCTCACTACGATGGTCCTGGAAAATGAGTGACTAGACAACATTTGGATCTTCCAAGCTTCGAAACGCTACGTTCTGAATGAGATGATTGCAGAAATCGAGTGAAGTGAGTGCCAAGGTGATAGCGCCGTCACGTGTGATCGCTCCATTAGCGTGATTCCCCGCTCCCGCCTTGCAGCTGGACTACGCGCTATTTGTTGCCACACCCGCCTAAGGCGCTCCACCTCCCTTCCCCACCATTCCTTACTTCTCAACCGGTCACCATCCTCCACAATTTCGCCTTCCCATTTAAGTCACTTTTCAGACTCCAAGATGCCTCCAGGGCGTAATGTCGCAGTTTATGACGTCCGCGCTGCTGCATCGCTTCCGTCGCGCAAGCGCAACCAAGTTCATTATCTTGCTGATAGCGATGACAAAGACTACGGCTCTTACGACGCGAGTCCCAGCTTCAAGAAGCGCAAATCGACTGGAGGGAACACCGTGATTGACCTGACTGTGGACGACGACGATGAGGTCGACAACTACTCCCACAAACGCAAGGAACCACCAAAAAATAACGCCAGAAGCGACAAGGGCAAAAACGAAGAGAAACGCATGCGCCGATTTCGCTCGCATCCACCGCAATCCTACCTGGTAATAAAACAGCGCGCCCTGAGCCAGCGTTTGACGGTGATAACCCGCGAGCGCGTTGGCACCGACGACGAGCCAGAGGAGAAAGTCACAATGGCAGGCTCGACGGGCAACGTGTACACACAGCACATCGGACACGTGCCGAGCTGCGACTGTCCCCATGCGAAAAAAGGAAACCAATGCAAACACATCATCTACGTTATGCTCCGCGTCCTGAAGGCCGCCGAGAATATTGCATACCAACTCGCGCTGACGTCATCTGAACTACAGGATCTGTTCCGTAACGCTGCTCCGATACCCAGCGCTGATTCCGGGATTGGAGACGGGCATGAGACCGAGATGGATGGCAACCGCAAGAAAATCGAAGGGGAATGTCCCATTTGTTACTGCGACTTCGAGCCCGGTACGGAAGCTATCGTCTACTGCAAGGCTGCGTGCGGAAACAACGTACACAAGAGCTGCATGCAATCCTGGATCATTGCGAAGGGCATAGGTAGGGCTACTTGTCCGTATTGTCGAGCCAAGTGGGAGGACAGTGATGGTGGTAGTTTCAGCGGGAAGGTGGATCTCAAGAGCGCGAGACGGACTGAGGAAGGATACATCAACATCGCAAGCCAGCTCGGATTGTCAGACGAGCGGGACTACTCGTCGTACCACCAACCATGGTCCCGACAGCAAGGCTTTGGCGGGTATCGATATAGCAGGTATTGAGGAGTTTCGGTTTTCGATTCGTTAGTCAAAGCGATCATTCCCCAAGGTAATGGGCTAGAACTACCACACCATCTAAGGCAGTAAGGTTTCTTCATAGCAACTCTTGGGCTTCTTTATCTCACTCGATGTGTAGCAAACGTCAGTTGATTATTCCAGATAGTCGAACTGATTATCCTAACGAACGTAGCCTTGCCAATTAGACACTGACCACGAATACACACGATGAGACGAAGTATGGGTAGCGCGATCGCGCGTTTTCACAGCATTGTGGTCGGTCTTATTTGAGGAGGCTACCACGGTATCGAAGATGCTGAGCCAGAGCTTCCACGCATAGTGCGTGGTGGCTGAACAGCATTGTTCGCATTGGCTCGGTCTACAGCCATATATGGAAACTAAAAGGCAACCAATAAGTCTAACGCACCTTAATGCAGCAGCGCCGCGAAGGCGCAGGTGGTGACTTTTGACAAGCTGCGAACTGCGAACGTGTGGTTTCATCGTCTGCTATTCTACCACAGATACCTATGGTACGGACATGTACTTGACTTCACCCACCAGCTGTATCGCGGTATCAACAGAAAATTCCAGAGCGCTGAAGGAGCCTCAAAAAGATCGGTAGTGTGCACGGTATGGATGAGGGTGACTGTTCATTATCCCAGGTGTAAGCTGTGTCACCACACAACTACAGCTAGCTAAGCATTCTAGTATCATGAACCTCGGCCAGATGCAATTCCTTTTTCAGCCCTCTCTAGAGCGCATGCCGCACTTGGTGTAGCGTCGTATATGCTCAACGTGGTTGGATCCCTCGTGGTAAGGCTGGACCCCAACAACATGCCAAGCATGCGTGTCTCAAAGTCTTGCATTGTCTACGGCCAGTATGGCGGAGGCTGCATGGTGTGAGGGTTCGCATGGCTTGAGTTTGGTTATATGCGGGCGCTCAGCCTGTTCTGCCTCAAGCCGGTTTCTCGACGCATACTACCTGTCTCATTGACACACGTCCTGTGGCAGCCGTGGGAACATACAACGACTCCACAGAGCGGGATCCCGGTCTCCACACCACAATGCCCAGGCGTCAAGACGCGACCGCAGCCCAACTGTCCTTTAGTCCCACGTGTCCCTCCGGTGGAACCTGGCAAGTCTGCGGGTCGAACTTTGCCGGCTGCTGCGCAGGAGATGCATGTACCAGGAGCGGCTGCGTAGAAGGAAACCTTTACCCTGTCGCCTTCGACAGTACCCAGCATGGAGAGTTCCCAGATGCTTCATGCGGCCTAGGCATCAGTTTCTGGACCTGCGGCTTTGGCCCAACTTTCTGGGGCTGCTGCAAAACAAATCCTTGTGCTGCAGGAGCAGTCTGTCCGCGCGGTGACCTGGCCGCCGCGCATGCCAATGGCGGAGATCCTGTGCAGCAGGCGTACTACTTGGGTGGATCGTCTGGACCGATCAGCATAACATCGGCGTCGCCCTCAGCAACGTCCACCTCGACCAACACTGGGACCCTGGTTACTAGTATCGCTTCGCTCAATTCTCTGGGTGGATCGACTTCCTCGCCAACTACGACACCAGTAGCTTCTTCGCCCCAGCCAGCCAGCCACACAGCCGCCATAGCAGGCGGCTCGGCCGCCGGTGGCGTCTTCGTCGCGCTCCTGGTTTGCTGGCTCATATACTACCTCTGTTATGTGAAGCGGTCCCGCAAGATACACAATGACGCGCTCTCCTCTTTGCAATCCGACCTTCCGGTCGCGACTATGACCGAGAAGCCGGATAATGCTACCACTGCCACACAAGGCTATGATGCAGGTAAGTTGGACTTCCGCGCCGTCTACGCGGGATGTTTCTCTTGAAATGGAGTCTGATACGTGCTATAGCGCCACCGGGGTATTGCTCTCCAAACCCCAGCACATACCCGCACCAGCGCAACGAAGTGAGTAGCTATGTCTATCCACACGCCACGGCCAACCCGGCAGCTTGGAAACCGCAGCACCGCCATGGCCTGTCGGAGCTCTCGGAGGAGACGGTGTGGCGGAGCGAGCTGGAGAGCCCGGTGCCGTCGCCACGCGTGGGCTGCACACCATAGAGTCCTCGTTCCGGGTTCAGACGTGAGGCGGGTTGGTCTGGTGGTCACGCGGACGACGATGTATGGAGAGGTAAAGATGCAGAGTGAGAGTGGGTGTGGCATTGTGAGGGCTGGAGAACGGCAGGTGAGTGGGTGAAAGTTAGGTCGAGGGGGGGTATTATTGAGAATCATGGCGCTAGGTTTGCGGTTGGAGCTTCCGTTCGTTCGTTCGAGACACTTGAAGTGGACGATATGTTCATTTGAACAGGCCGTTGCGGACATATGTCTGCGTGATGAACATCAGCGTAATACCTGTCCGTTGATTGGGTCTCTCGATGTTGTGTTAGCAACATGGTGCTGAGCACGTCTTGTTTGCATTTACTAATGTTTGCAGAATAATGATCCACCCCAAACATCAGGCGTTACGAAGAGATTCTGGGTTGGCATTGCTGCATAGAGAATCTACGGGAACCGATAGCTAAATATTGCTGAGTAGAGATACTACTTTCTTCACCGGTTCAACCGACCAGCTTGCAGTGTATCCTGTCTCGTATATAGCCGTTGTGCGAAATTCCCGCTGGGTCGAGGCCGGCACGCACCGGTGCCTTTTTTATACTGGCGATAAGTCGATTCCAGGATTCGGGTATCCAGAATTGCAGACATCCTAAAGATATCAACCTTTTGACGAAGGCACGTAAGGGCTGTCGTGAACAGTAGGTAGGGGATGTTCAATTGAGCATAGATCAAACAAAATGCTACAAGACTGTGCGCCTAGACAAGAATGCCAGAAACGCAATGAGGATGTGAGGTGAGGACGGACGAAGCGGCAGATGACATTGTGATTGCCTCGCTTACTAAAGCCAGGTGCTGAAGACGACTTTCTCATCTTCACGTCTACGGCACTAACGACCACATCAAGCCATCACTTGACATTGTTGTTGAAGTTAAAGCCTACGAGATTAAGTATCGTTTCACACCTGTAAAGTCGAAATGCCTAGGCAAGTGTAGTCCCTGCAGTGCTAGCCAAGCACCGTCTGCCCAGGTGGGCGCTAGAGCACGTGCTCACGTATAGCGCGTCTCTACCGCGTCCTCCATCTCTCAACCACCAACGTCAAATTTCCAGATAACACAACCATGGCGCCTGCCGAGCAGCCCCTAAAGTATACCCAAATATCACGCGAAACATTCAATGCCATTCTCTCCCACTATTCCTCCATCGTACCCGAAAAGTTACGCGAGCTAGACGTCCTGCGCTATGAAACAATCCCAGCTGCCGTCATCTCTCGCGCGAAGGAAGGCGGCGCGGAACTGACTAAAGATGAGGTCGTGAAGCTTGTGGAGTGGAAACTGTACGTATATTTCGATTATTTTGTCGAAGCTGTACACGGAATTCCACCATAGTACGCATCACCTAGGAACGACGGTCATCACATCACATGTATCTCCACATCGCCGTTGCCAAGCACGTGTAAAAGAAGCATTACGGAGGTGTAAAAGTCCCACGTGCGTCTGCACCACAACGTTTTCCAAATATTTGAGTCAGCAAAGCGATCGCCGTTGCTTCGACTCTTGCAAAGTCTTAGACGATGCTCTGGCCATCTTTTCATGTCTCCACTCAACAAGCATCCACGAAATACGACTTGTTCCGATCACACTCATATTCAACATCGCCCCTCGAACCAACTCCTTGACCCCCTAACTCCCTGCAACCTTCGCCCAGAACCTGGCTAACCACCCACCCCAGCAAACACGGCACCTTCCGGCCCACCCTCCTCTCCCTCGTCCAAGCGAACCCCGCACCCTCCATAGCCAACACCACACGCACAGCCTTCTCTTCCTCACCCTCTTCCCCCAACACAACAGCCCAGCTCAAACCTCTCACCTCCCTCCGCGGTATCGGCCCCGCAACCGCCTCCCTCCTCCTCAGTGTCGCCTACCCCTCTACGCACCCTTTCTTCAGCGACGAGCTGTACCGCTGGCTGGCCTGGGACGCACCCTCATCGGGCGGCTCAGGTGGGAGGGGGTGGAAGAGAGGGATCAAGTACAATGTGAAGGAGTACGCGGAGGTTGTGGAGCGGTTTGGGGAGCTGAGGGGGCGTCTGGGGGTTAGGGGTGTGGATGCAGAGAGGGTGGCGTGGGTGCTGGGACGAAGAGGCGTTGATCTGAATGAGGATGGTGAGGTATGGGTGAAAGAATTAGGGGATGAGGGGGCGGTAGAGAATAGGGATGCAGCAGAGAGCAATGAAAATCGTGATGGCGACGAAGGAAGGGACGGCGAGACAGGTGCAGAGAGAAAGAATGCGAAGACTGGCGCGGAGCGGAAGCACAGTGATGCAGAGGAGGGTGTTGAAGATGCAGGGAAGAAGGCGAAGACGGGTGTGAAGCGCAAGGCTGGAGGGACGGAAGCGCCCGTGGAGGGCGTGCGGAGAAGTAGTCGCAGGAAAGCTGCGCCCTAAAGTATGCGTTCCCAAGATGGTCTGAACGTTCTAGGTTGTAAAGTTGAAGAAGCAATATCATCGCGACATTGCGTCGTCCATCATCCATCACAAAGAACCACTCCCGTCACCGCAATAGCCAAAGCCTCCGTGCAAAACGCCAAAACGCCACGCCAAAGACCGGGTATTATCACAACACAACGCCCATCACCCCACACACGCTTCCGAAGGCAACTCAAATACCAGGAATCTGCCCACTCTTCGTCCGTATCCTCCCCTCCTTGACCGCCCCAATCGTAACCCCCGCCTCCCCCGTCATCCACCCCGGCATCTTCTCCCCGTCTACAATGCCCTGCTCGACCAATTGCCTCACGCCGGCAAACACATGACTGCCCTGAAAGACAACACGCACGTCCGGGACCCACGCATCGGCCCCTTCTAATTCCTCGATCTCGTCTAGCGAGCGGTCTAGCAGTGAAGGACGACCCCTACGGTTGCGGTTCGCGGGCTGCTCACTGATGTTGGAGGTGTCTGCGTCGTCTGCGGAGTTGGGCATGGCGGGAAACGCATCGTCGATGCGGACTTCGACGCGCTCGAGGCCCTGGCCGTCGTTGGGTTGTGCGGAGCTCCCAAATCTCCCAGCTGCGACTTCGCGCCTCCTCTTCGCGTCCGACGTCTCCTTGTCCTCGAGGGTGCGCTTCGGCCGGCCAGGGCCCGCTTTCGCCGTTGCGCCCACCGCGCCGTCCTTGCGTTGCCCATTCTTCTCTTTCCCATGGTCGTTCTGACTCGTGATAAAGTCCAGCGCATTCTGGCTGAAGTTGTGGTCCTGGAAGATGCTCCAGCCGCCGGAAGCCGCGTTGCTCTTGCCTGGACCCCTGTACGCGAGCAGCGCGTCTAGCGATTTGGTCGTGAAGTTTGTGCTGGCGAGCTGGTACCTTGCTGAGGGGCGCGAAAAGGCTTTTGGGATGGCCTGCTGGACAATGTCGCGCAGGTGGCGGCCGTCGTCGCTGATGACTTGGCCGAAATGGTTTGCTATGGAGGAGTAGACGAAGTTTGAGCCGTTGGGCCAGATGAAGAAAACGGCTCTTGCGTTATCCGAGCTCCCGTTATCTATGGCGAGGGACGCTTCGGTGCTGTACGGCGAGTCGTGGATGTACACCCTCAGTATCGTCATTGGCATGGTCTTGATCTTGATCAGCAGATAATGCGCCTTCATGAGCGGCGTGAGCTCCCGCGCGAGATTCGCCATGAACGTCTGCGCCTGGAAGCGCGGCAAGTGCTCCGAGTCGTTCGTGACCTCCATATCCAGCGCCATGTTCTTCCCGCTCGGTATCTTTGCAAGCCGCTTCGCCGTCCAGCGCAGACTGTTGGGATGGTCGAGCAGGTACTGGATCTCGGCCGTGGCCAATTGGTACATGGAGATGCCGGTCCGCCAGTCTCCCTCTAGTATGCGATCCTGGATCTCGCGCTTCCCGCCCTTGCGCGCGGCCAGCTCTTTGTAGATCTCCTGGAGCTCCTCGTAGCTCTGCGCGGGGGTGTACTGCTCATCGTCCTCTTCCGCGTCGGCACCACGGTCGCCGAGCAGATACGGGCGGCAGAAGTCGCGGTTCTTTTTGGCGAGCCATTGGTTGGCAAGGGAGACGAGGGACTGGCGGGAGAGCTTGGTGAAGGTGCGCTGGACCTCGCGGTGGGACGTGGGCAGGCGGTGCGAGTGCGGGACATTTCTGTAGTCTGGCACGGCTGTATTCGGTTTCGGCGCCATGGCGGGCTACATGGGTGGTTATGTTCAGAGGGATCAATTGTTTATGGCTGTTATCGATACCATCGCGCCCGAGGAGACGCGTTGGTAGCGTGCTGAGCGGAGACGAGCGGCCATCACGTGACGCTGTCGCACACGGCGGCCACTGCAAGGTCATGGCTGCATGCCAGCAGCAGCAGCCAAGATGCGGAGAGCGCAGCTGACAAACCCGCGTCCCATGTCAAGCAGCGCAGCGTTGCGGTGCGCTCAGCATCAGCATCAGCATCGACGGGAGCGTGCGGGCTGCCCCTCACGATGGCGCTACGGCAGTGCTCCCGCCGCTCGAAAGACCGCGCAAACCTCGGGCGCACTCGGGATTGTCTGCCTATCTGGAGAATTGGGGTGTGGAGTCGGGCCTTTGCTTACAAACTCCACACTCAGTGTCGCCGTCACTGCCACACGCACTCGTCGAGCGCAGGGCGAGGCGGGGTCAGCCGCTGGGCCTGCACAGAGAGGTACCAAGGCTGCAGCGCCCAAATTGCCCGCGAGGGCTTCGTATTGTCGTGCATGCTCCTGAGTGCTCGAGTCCACGGCCTCTTTGCGGGCGACTCCGTGGGGTGCTAGTGCGCCTTCCGATTGATCAGTCATAAACGGCAGTCACACGCCGTAGACGGCCGAGTTCGCTGACGATCGAAATCCTTTCTCCACCGGCAAATACACTACTCTCTCAACGTCACGACTTCACTTCTCTCCACTACCCTCTCACCAATATTCCCGCTGCCTCGCCCGCGAACCGTCAGTTCCTGCGAGAATCACCTGCCTGCACACCAGCAGCCGTCGCATCACATATCCGCCTGCTCGGCACCACCGCGGCACCGGAATTACTCATCTTGACGCAACCGTAAATCGACCGCCAGACGACCCCTCGATCCAGCCATTCCGAACAGCCTCAAAGGAGTACTTGACCCGCACTATCGCCCGGGCACACTTCAATGTCCGGCTATAACGGCCGTCGCGGGCCAAACGTCTCCGCGTACGTCGCCAACCTCAACACCATCGTGCCCGACGAGGTACAGGAATCGAACACCGACTTTGACATCTTCCTGGAGACGGAGCTCTTCGACCAGTACGACTCGGGCGACCTCAACTTCAACCCGGCGCTGGACATTGGCTTGAACAGCATCGACACACCAGCACCCGCGCCGCAAGCAAATCCCACACTCCCCGCGCCTAGCGTATCCGACGACGCCAAAATGGACTTCAACCTCAATGGTAAGTAATTTCTCCGCATCGTGTTCTATTCGTATTGCCGATCATATCGACGTCGGTCGCCGCCGTGTTCTGGGCTTGAGGTGCGTTGCAGGGTACACTGCAGACCCCGCCAAACGCGCTTCGCCAACCGATTCACCCCACGCATCCTGCAGCCTCGCAGCCACTCACGCGCACACGTCCTAAACAAGCGGCCGGGGTGTCCAGCGCCTCGAGCGCTGGCCTGCAACGACGCATCGCGCTGCCCTGATCACGCAATAAACATGCTGCCTCGCGCTGCCAACTGCACACAGCGGTCACCGACTCCACCTCGCACTTGATTGTCCTTTGCACGTTCAGCGATCATGGCTAATTTCGACCTCTTCACAGGCGACTTCCAGTTTGCCGACTTCTCCACCTTCGCGCAACCCCTCTCCATCGATCCGTCCATCCAGAACCCGCTGCCCGCCTCGCGCACCTACTCCATCGGCAACGCCTTCTCCCCCGCCTCCTCTGTCGTCTCCCCCATCATTCCCGGCTTCGATGCCGCCGCTGGTAAGAAGCGCAAGCACGAGAGTGCTGTGTCAGTGTCTGCGGACACCCCGAGCCAACCCCCCACAGATGAGTCCGCGCGCAACGCCGCCGAGGAGGACAAGCGGCGCCGCAACACGGCCGCCTCCGCGCGCTTCCGCATCAAGAAGAAGCAGCGTGAGCAGGCGCTTGAGAAGACGGCCAAGGAGATGACGGACCGCGTCAGCGTGCTTGAGACGCGCATCCAGCAGCTCGAGACGGAGAACACGTGGCTCAAGGGCCTCATCACCGAGAAGAACGGCGGCAAGGCGTCCCCCAGCGAGATCCAGGCCCGTCTGTCCAAGCGCGAGGAGAGCGAGCGGAGTAACGGCAACCGCACTGACGGTGTTGGCACGAAGGCGGCCAAGGCGTAAAGGCTCTGTCCATAATTCTTCTGGCTTGCTTCTTTGTTTCTGGATTCCTGTTCGATGCTGGGCTTCGGCTTTCGCTGGCTCGACTCGATAGACGTCGGGTCAGCGCGCACACGGTTCGCGCTTTGTGTTATAGACGGGGGCGGGATGGCATGGCCGTCCTCACGGGGACGCGCCGCCACGAGGCGTGCGATGCTCATGCTGAAATGAGTTCATGCAGAAGCTCAGTATACGATTCACAAATATGATTTGCTACTTTCCACATCTACTTTGTTCCCGCTCATGCTATGCGTGCTTGACTGCGAGCTCAAAGCCCGTCTTTTTTCTATAGCATTCCACCTCGTCTATAGTCAGGCCCGCTCCCATCTGCATCTTTGCCCAGTACTCCCGAGTCATCAGCGTCCAGCCGTCGGCCTCACCCGCCACAAGCCTCGGACCTCAGCATTCGATTTTTCCAAGGGCGCGCATAACGACACCGGGGCTCCACATCACGCAATGCCACCACACCAAACCAGCCCAGATCAGACAAGGCCACCGCGACAAGCGCCCGCGTCGGGTCCAGGTTCCAAGATCAAAAGGACACCGAGTGCCCATGTAGCTTAGCTTCCTGCCCTGCGCGTGCTTCCCGTGCGAGGGTCGACGGCGCGCAGGGGAGTGCGTATGCAGGGCAGTATCTTGTCCCGCGTAGGGGAGGGATGGGAGCGATGTCGGACAGAGGCGTGGGATGGGGTGTACTGAGTCAGGTAGAGCCAGTAGTTAGGTGGTGGGAGGAGGTGGGATTGAACGGTGGGATTCCGAGGATGGCCTGCGGGCGGTGGGGTGTAGCCAGGTTTTTAGTGCGGTGGAGAGGTTTCTCTTGGGCGCGCATGGCCTCAGGTAGTGATATGGGAGGAGAGTGCATAAGTGTGTGTGGTATGGTGTGATGCTGTGTGGGAGGAAGGTCCGAGAGAGTGTTTGCGTTCCCATGGACACGGCCACTGCTCCTCGAAGTTCCAGCACTGCAAATGTCACTGACTGGACCGTGCTAGGCGATGCTGGAGCTGCTCCAGGGGCCTTCTGAGAAGCTGGCTGGGCTGCATTTGGTCGATACAGAAGACTGCGCTGTTCCGTGTGGTCGGCAAGCAGACGCGGTACACGCACTGGGCAGCTCAAGCGAACAATGTTTGCTCTGCGAGCTAGGTGGATCCGATTGTATCTTCCGCTACTGGGTATTGGTTTGGTGGATCGGGAAACACACCGCGTAGTCCTGGTAGTGCTTTGGTGTTCGGATACAGTCGGGATCCCCTGGTGAATGCACGTGTCAGCGCGTAGCTATTCGGCTTCCTAAGTTGCCTAAGCCTTGTGCTCTGCAAACCAGCCAATAACGCCTACAAGTAAGTTGTATCACAGAGTGTTTAGTATGTCGGGCCTACAGTAATTGTTTGCCAGTCCTTTCCAGCTCAACAAGTATGCCGATAGCCTCGCTACATCTCGCCGCTGCGTAGTCCATCCTCCCGTCTTCGGCATTACCTTTGCCAGATCTGGGCGCTCCCTTGTTTTCAGGGACGGATACCTGCATTGCGGTGAGCCTACGTTGCATACCAGAATGCTTGGTATAGAGTCGGATCTAATGATGTGCGCATCCGATGAGAGCTCGTCTTAGGTAGAAGTGGTCACACGACACTTGCAGCTGTCAAACGCACGTGGGGAGAAGAGGTGCTCCGCTTCGCGCCACAACAGTAGGGCTTAGACTGTAGCACGCGGGTAGTAGTGGTAGTTGCACATGTCGATTGAACAGGTGGGGCGTGCAATTAAAAAAGTGAACGGGTGGCGCAGAAGATAGCTGGATGAAACTCTCCTTGGGACGATGTATACAGCCGTCTCGATTATCGGGGAACATATACCAGTTTTGCGAATGGAATGGACGTACGTGGAATGCTGTCTGATGGCAGAGCAGATACGGGCGATCGGCTACGCATGGAAAGAACGTCGATGGAAGTCTTGCATAAAAGAATGTATGCTGGACTGGAATTCAAAGGCGTGCCTGTGTTGGTATCAAATCATTTGCAGTCAGCCATTCACGTTTTGCTTCATGGACATGTCTTTCGTCGAACAGAGACCCGGTGTGATGTCACATGCCTATCAACGCGCTCAAGATCTTATTCCTGAAACGAACCCTGAGTACCAGATTCACGGCGAAACAATCTGCCCGTTGGAACAGTTCGGCGGGGGTGTAGACGATGCCACTGTCGTTCTACCATCATCGGATAGCATTCGTTCCACCAAATCAGACGACACAGTGTTATCATGGCGAACTTCGAACTCAGGATCCACGCTTGCAACCTCGATCACATCTTCGCTAAGCAAAACTGCGTCTATCGTTTGGACCGGGTTCAATCGTGTTGCTAGGCCAAACAGGTTCTCGGCGACATCGCGGTGGATACAGGATGGATCATGGCCGCATTTTGAACAAGGGAACATTGACCCGGAAGCTTTGCCGCTCCGACCTCTGAGTGAATGTGGGACATACTCCGGATGCAACCAGACACGATCTTCGGGTTGTGAAGGAAAAGAAGACGCGTCAATACGTTTGAAGTTTGACTTCGGATGCAGATCTCACATATACGAGCTAGAATACGCCGTGTTCCGTCAATGGAAGTACGTGTCACTCCTCATTAGTGCGGTGCAAGAAGACGGCGTAAACTGCGCGCTGATATGGGACGAATGCGAAGGGTTGCAGGTAATGGCCGGCGACTGGGAGGCACGAGTGACTCCAGGTTGGAAGGTTACAATCGTCTGTGAAGATGATGATGTCTACGACAATGAGGACGACTGGGGCGAAGTAGATGACGAGAAAGACGAACCCTGGGATGTGGAGAAAGGGCACAGCGGGGAATGGTGGTTCAAGCGCTGGAAGACGAGGGTCGAGGGAAAGAAAGACGGACGAAAAAGGAAGCAGAAGCCCTGGATGATAGGTGTGGTGGCCATCACGGGTATTACGATCGCTTTCAGCATAGTATCGTGGCTTTCGTCCACAGAGCATCGGCTGATAGCGATGGATTGAGACGAGTCTGGGTGGCTTCAAGATGCAGACGAAGACTTGTAATTCTTCAGTGCTGCAATGAATGAACACATCGATGGTACAGTCAGAGATGACGTGCATCATGCAATGGCAGAGAACTCATTGCGCATATGCCCAAGTTGCGCGAATCGCGGGAAGGCGCGAATCTCGGAGAATTTCCGAGGAGAAAGGCTGTGGAATATTCCGCGTTGGGAAACTCGTGTGAAACTCGTTGAAAGCAGCAATATTTCCCCGGCCAGTTTCCGGTACTTTCACGGCAACTTTCCGCGACCTAGCGGCACCCTGGTGCACCTCGATAAAGACACAACCGCATGTGCATTCTTCCTTTCGGTCTGCAAATGAGCCCAGGACTGCGTCAAGCAATGGATGGAGGGTGGCGACTAAGCTAGAGGTTGCGATGAGTGGTGTCACGAGGGAGTCTGGACGGGATGGCGATGAAGTTGGGTGGCAGCTGCCGGGGCAACGGCCGTCGTGTTTTGGTCTTGGCGGCTGCCACCTTGAAGCGCTGCGAGTCGACGCACGCGTGCTCTACAACGTGGAGTAAAATTGTTACGCACTTTCCTACCGCAATATTTGCACCGCCTTCGAGACCGAATATATCATCGTAATACAACAACCCAACGTCATCGCAGTAGCATTCCTCGGCCCTGGACCTCGCACCCTCGCGCTGAGTCTCCCAGCATACCGCATGAGATAGCGCTCGTGCAACCGCCGACGAACTTGGAGCCATGCTAGGCTTCCGGGTGGGAAAGCTGAAGGTGGGAAAGCGGAAACAGCATTCGTACAACAAAATCTCCCCCCGCGATGTCGAAGACCTCGACTACGAGAAATACCTCAGCAGCGACGATGACAGTTCGAGCTCTTCTCCCACATCCTCTCCGAATTCGTCCCGATCCTCGTCGGCGGCGCTCATTCCCCCAAAGCCGAAACGCATACGAGCTCTGTCACGGCCGTCAGTGAGCGCATATAGCTACAAGAACCCACGAATGTTCACGCGATACTTTGGGCTGGCCGTAGGAACGACAGTGCTTCTGTTCATGTATTTCTTGCTGCATCAGAGCTGGGTATCGATAAGAAGCGCCGAGCTGGGGTTACACAACGATCCACCACCGCCACCCGTGTGGGAGAGCTTTCCTTTCCTGAAGCGATACCATGGCGGGATACGGACACTGGTCGGCAGGGACAAGAACACTCCAGAGTACCCGAAGAAGGAAGACATCGACCCGGACATGCCGCCACAGGATGCAAAGGAGGTCTCGCCTAAGGGCAAGCGCATGGAGGGTGGCAAGTTGCCCGACTCAGTGCTGTTCAACCCGTATCCCGACTACAAAAGCCAGAAGTATATTGACGAGTACGGTCCGGTGGAGACATGCTATCTGGATCTGGAAGGGAAGCTGCAGATACCATCAATGAGGGTTTACAACGGAGTGACCGAAGGAACCCCGGAAAATGTCATCGGCTCATACGACTTGCTTGGCTTACGAAAAGATGTGTGCTTCGAACGCTTTGGAAGGCTGGGTCCGTACGGTCTCGGATACTCGAAAAGGCGAGGTGGTACCGGCGCTGCCATGGAAGGCGATCGCGAAGGTAGCGAGAAGGTGTGGGAGCAGACCGCCGAGGTCGACTTCCGTGAGGTCAAATGGGCCCAGGTGCTGGATCGCTGCCTAGAGAAGAACAAATATCGTTTCAAGCCCGGTCCCGGTACTCCCGGCCACAAGCTCCAGACGATCACCGCACGAGACGCCGACGTGAAGAAGAGCAATAGCACATCTGGCGAGCAACCGAAAAAGAAGCACAACAAACTCCTGCCCCGTACTGCAGTCCTCATCAGGACCTGGTCAGACTATGAGTATGATGATGAAGACATCATGTACCTTCGATCCCTCATCTCTGAACTCACCATCGGATCCGGTGGCGAGTACCAAGTGCATTTCCTGATACACGTCAAGGATGACAACAAGCAGATCTGGGCCGTTGAGGAAGTATATCAAGAAGTCCTTAACAAATCTTTGCCTGCAGAGTTCGCCGGAATGGGCACGCTCTGGTCTGAACGTCAAATGGGACTCATATACGGAGGTGTTCACGACTCCATGTTCCGCGACCTGCCTGTTCACGGTGCATACCGCTCCACGTATATGCCAGTTACATACTTTGCTCACCAACACCCTGAGTTTGACTTCTTCTGGCACTGGGAGATGGATGTTCGCTATACTGGCCATTACTACCACCTGTTTAAGAAGATCAGCGAATGGACGGACAAACAGCCCCGAAAGGGCCTCTGGGAGCGTAATGCACGCTTCTATGTTCCCGCAGTTCACGAGTCCTGGGATGACTTCTCGCAGATGGTGCGTGTCCAAACGGAGCACGGCACAAGCAGCAAGGCGAATGCGTGGTCTTCACTCCTTCCTCCGAACCCACACGTGCCTGAGCTCGAGTCACAGAGAAAGGAAAAGCCAGTATGGGGACCTGAGCCACCTCTTGACTACCCCGACATTGAAATTGACGAAGCCGTCAAGCCGCCGCGTACTTTGATGGAAGACAAATACCAGTGGGGTGTGGGAGAGCCCGCAGACTTGATTGTCCTTAATCCGCTTTTCGACCCTGACAGCACGGGCTGGCTTCTCGCTGAAGACTTCACAGGCTACAATACAACGCAAGGTGCCCCGCCTCGTCGTGTGGCAATCAACACCTCAGGTCGCCTTTCGCGTCGGTTGCTGGAGACGATGCATCGCGAGCAGTCTATACACCGGCACACCATGTTTTCGGAGATGTGGCCCGCTTCGTGTGCTCTGCACCACGGCCTGAAAGCTGTATACGCGCCGCATCCCGTCTACATTGATCGAAAGTGGCCTGTGCAGTACCTGGCTGCTATCTTCAACAACGGTCGTAACGGAGCGAGTGGTGGGTCGAGGCTGAGTGTGTTCAGCGACGACAGGCAGCACAACTTCCTAGGAACCACGTGGTACTACCATGCAGGACATGCACCCAACCTATGGAAGCGATGGCTAGGGTATAAAGTCGATAACGATGGTGGAGAGCAGGAAGAGTTAGCGGGGGAGGGCCGAATGTGCTTGCCTGCTATGCTTTTGCATCCTGTGAAGCAAGTCGATTTGGTTCAAGAGCGGCTTGAGGAGCCCGAAACGGTTGCGACGTAAGAATACGATGATTCTTTCAGGCATTTGGGCGGCGTTATTGGGTTTATGGCATACGTGCGAGGCGTTGGGGAGTTTGGTTGGACTGCCTACAGTGGCTCGGTTGTCGCTTTTATGTCCCTGTATACCGACATGGTTCTACGCTAGCATGATGTACACGTGTCTGCTCTGTAATCAAAACGAGTGACGGGGATTGCATCGAGATATTTGCTATACTTTCAGCTCTATATTACCACAACATCATGTCTATATACTTGACCTTAGTATCTCCACCCGTGGATCTATTTCTTTACTGCATCTCCATTAGCTGAAACCCTCTCTCCACCCTCTTCAATTGTCGACGCAGCACCTCCCTCGGTATCCTCATTTACCTGTTCCTGCGCCGCCGCCGGTGGCGGCGGCGTCTTCGACTTTGGCGGCCTAGAAGCCGGCGCCGCATCAGGGTCATCAGGCGTCGCCGTGGGCGGCACCACAACTCCTATCGGTGCCGTCGCGTCCGCCGTCCCAGCCGCAGGCGCATTCGCCACGGGCGCCTCCAACGCCGGTCTTGCTCTCAGTGCCGCATTGGCTGCATCCGTTGTCGCGTTGGTGTACATATCCGCTGTCTCCCGTCAGCACTCACTGCCTCACAGCAGCCACAGTCGATGCACAAAACACAAGAAGAAAAGGGAAGGAAACTCACGGTCATTCATCGTGTTATTCCGCACAACCTTATCGTACAACCTCGTCAACCGCGCCACCTCACTGCGCACACTAACCTCCCCATCAATCGCAATCTCATCGTACCCATGCGCCCCAGCCTGGATCCCGAGCCACATGACCTCGGAATTCTCCATCTCATCCACCACGCGCTCCAGATCGTCGCGGAACATGCGCGCCCGCATCGGCTGGCCCCTGCTCTTGAGATACGCCACTAGTCCCGCGATAATGGTGTTGAGCGCGCCGAACACGGTGATCAGGATGTGCGAGGAGGCGGAGGCGCCGAGGCCGGTGAGCGCGGCGCCGAGCACGACCTGACTGAGGAGAAGGGTGTTGGTTAGGGCTGCAGTGAACATGTAGGTTCTGTTTTGCACGTTGCGCTTGTGGACTGCGCGGCCGTAGAGGGAGCGGCGGGCAGCCGGCGAGGTGGAAGTGGGTTTAGGTATGTTCGAGGGGGGAACACCGGCGAGAGCGCAGAACTGGAGGTGGATGTCTTTTGGGTTCCGGGGTGTGGTTGCGTCGCCGGCGATCAGGAGGGGCGTTTCCTCCGTGTAGTCGTACATCATGGGGACGGGCATCTTGCGTGCGTGGGTATAAGAAAGAAAACAATGCGAAAAACGATCCCAGCGACGCACGCGACGCCTTTGGTCCACCTCTTGCGTCTCCTCTTGCGATATAGGTGCGATGTTACAAGGCCATTGAGAGGCCTGATAGCAAGGGATGGAAGTGCGAGATTTGACATGGCGCTAGCATCTGAAGCTAGATCAGTTTTTGTAGATGGCGGACGCTTAATGCCGATTAGAAAGCTTAGCTTTTATCGAAAAGTTAGTTTCCGGGCTTTGAACACTTCGGGTTGTAGGAAGAGGCACGGTAAGCGATCCCTGTCGGTCACAAGATGATGGGGTCCGATGATGCAATGTCTACCGTGGGAACATGCGCTCACAAGCAGAGTGGGGGTTCAGACTGCCTCACGAGATGCGCTTGCACTAGATATTCGCTCTCGCATTCGTCCTAGTGTTTTTCTTTCATTCTGCGTTTTGCGTTGCTGGGGTTGCGATGTCATACACACTCCCGCGTCGACTGATTTAAGTCAATGTTGATGTTCGCTGACCATCATTGAAATGCAATTGCTGAATCCACCATTTGATCGCGATTGGCCAACATTGCTCGATCTTCCTAAAGTGCGGTTATCTACGACTGGGATTTTGATGACGCGGCTATATCTACAAAGACATTGACCCGGCCCGCACAACATCAAATTTCGAAAGGCAGATCGAAGAATACATGTCCCTCTATTTTCATGGGAATGATCGTTTTCTCTCGAGAATATGACAATGGGCTGCCCATACACTGGCCTGCGTCTGACAATAGCCCCCACCCTCTTCGTGACATTGAAGTGATCCCTGTTGGTTGAAGAATTGGGACCTCCAAAGAGCCTCAATAAAAGGCCGGGATCGTTAATCGGCATACGACGAAACCCATCACCCGGCTATATATAGCCCTGGGCAACTCAGACATCCCGTATATAAGGAGTGTATGGCCTGTCACGATCTTGGAAGTATAATCCTTTCGCCCAGCAAACTAAGCTGTATTCCACCGCTGTGCCTTGACTCCTGTACTAGATTAGGCAAGAGTCTCGCCAAAATCGCTCCCCAAGAAGCGCCGTCGAATTAGCGCGTTCGCCCTTCAGCTCTGTGAAGAGTGAAGTTTGAACTGGAACCGCTGTCTCACGAGTCGCTGCAAACATCGAAAATATTATACCATGGCCAAGAAAGTCCCTATCCCTAGCACTCTCAGCCTCGCAGCCTTCTTCGTGCGCATCGGTACTGTTACACGGCTCTGGACCCCACCACGAACCCCACTGACACCAACCGCTAGCTACGGCCGCCGTCTATCGCGCCCTCACCTATCCCATCCGCCGCCTCACCAACTCTCCTCGCGCTCCCACTTTCACTAAAGATGTCTTTTTCGCTGCAGTCCGTGCCGGCTGCGACGTCGTCCAAATCGCACACAGCAGATACTTGATGCCCTCAACAACAGACCTCTACCACCAGTTCTGCGCCGCAAACAAAATTGCGCCTCGCTCGCTGGAAGTATCACTGCCTGATTCGAAAGATGTGGTAGCCGCGCACTGGATCGGCGAGCCCGATGCAGATGTCGTTGTGTTGTACTTCCACGGCGGAGGGTACACGCAAGCCGGGACGGAGGGCTATCTGCGCTTCTGGACGCAGACCGTGAAAGATCTGAATACCGGTTCGAGAATAATGGCGGTGCTGCAGCTTGCTTACAGTCTTGCGCCAGAGGCGCAGTATCCGAGACAGCTCCAGGAAAGTGCTGCTGTGCTGGCGCATCTGATTGCTGCTGAACGGTCACCGTCGAGTATTATTCTCGCGGGCGATTCTGCGGGCGGAAATATGGTGTTGAGTCTACTATCGCATGTTTTGCATCCGCATCCGAGTGGAGATGTTGCGAGGATTGAGTTGAATCAGGAAAAGATCGGAGGCGCGCTGATGATCAGTCCGTGGGTCACGTTTAGCCAGGAGCATGAGAGTTTCACGAACAATCGGGGGAAGGATATGTTGTCGCCGCGGCAGCTGCGGCGGTATGCGGGAATGTTTCTCGCGCCCTCTAGTAATCCGGAAACCGACCCCGGACGTGTGCACGGGGACGCGTACACAGAACCTCTGCACAACGACCCGTCTTGGTGGAAAGGGCTCCCCCGTGTTGTCAGCGAAGTGCTTGTCTGGTCCGGTGGAAATGAGCTCTTCGCAGATGCGATTGCGGATTTTGAGTGGGTCTTCCGTGAAGGATGGTGCCAAGGGGGAGACGAGGATGGGGGAGACGAGTGTGAAAACGTCGTGTTCGTGCAAAGTCCGGAGAGAGCGCATATTGAGCCTATTTTGAGCGTCATGCTGGAACAGGGTGTGAAGGGAAAGCATCAGACTGTCATAGAGGAGTGGATGAAGGCCAGGCTAGAGAAGAGTGGGTAGTCTAAAAAAGAGTACAGTGGGTTGATAGTGGTGAGTAAGCACTGCAGCTGTCTAAAAAAGCCACCTGCTCTCGACCCACTGCAGCTCCTCCTTCAGCCAGGGCTCCTCGTCCTCTTTCAAAGCGCCATCGAAACCATGATCACCTTCCTTTCCGTACGCAAGTCGGATTTCCACGCCAGGAACAACACTCTTGGTCCTCTCAACAAAGTCCACACTGTCTTGGAACTTCACAGCACTGTCTCCAAGAGCATGGAAGATTGTAGTAGGCGGCACAAATTTGACGGATTTTACCGCAGTGATCGGCCAAAGTCGCTCTCCCTCGCCAAAGAACTCGTTGTACCGTCCGTAGGCATTCAGTGCCATCGACAATCCAAAACGATCAGTCTTGTAAGGGTGAGCAGAAGACGTGATAGCGCCCGGGGTAAGCAAGCTCGCCAGTTTCTCGTCCATCCACTCCCTGGACGGGGTCTGCATTCCCAGCATCGAATCTTCCGGTGAGCGACGAGTATGGTTCGTCATCGGATACTGCGCAAGTATCGCATTGATCTCACCTTCAGGCCTGGTGAGACCGGACTGCAGGGCCATGTATCCACCAGCCGAATCTCCCGAGACAAGTAGGTGTTTGTAATCAAGGTCGACGTTGACGTTTTGAGACGTGAGATATTTGTCGACGCCCTTGTCGTTGAACCACGACCAGAAATCTGCCAGGTCCTCGAGGATATCCGCCCCGCTGGATTCTGGGACAAGACGATAGTTCGGAAGAATAGTGATGGCGTTGTTCCGGTGCATGAAGGGGACCCAAAATGCTGCTATCCAGTCTGGGAACAGCGCATCACCCACGACCTTAATGTGTCAGCCTGGGTTGTGAAAGTCTATGACTGAGCGTCTTCACTTACGAGACCACCGCCGTGGAACTTGACAGCCAAGGGAACCTTGCCTGGTTTCAAATCTTTGGGCACTAAGATAGCGACCTTGATCTTGTGGTCGCCGATCTGCTTGAAGTGTGTCTCGTAGACATTGAAAGAATCGAAGCGCGTGGCCGCTGTAGTGTCGTCGTAAGGTGCCATAGCCAGGCGTATTTTGTGCGGACCAGTAATAGGACTATTTCGCATATAACGAGGTATGTAGAAATTCTTTGAGGGGGATACTACCAGCGTGTGAGTTTTACCAGGCTCTACTTATACCTTCTTGGACGCCCTTTTGGTTGGAATTGGACAGATCTGGTGCTCATTAGCATTCCAAATCATCTGGCCTGGCAAATCGCATTCTCACACTTCAATGACACCTCGCCTTCGCTACCGTGCCGCTCCTTGTCGACAATGTTGAATGAGGGAATTTCCGCCCGTGCGTTTGATACACCAAAGCTACACTTGCCAAGACTGGATATTTTAGGACGTGCGCTGCTGCAGTGGCGTATGCGCCAGGGTTTTGGTGCAGGGTTCGGTTGTCAGCAGAAGGGCGGCGGTTGCCGGGGTTGAGTTCCTACTTTTGGGTAATGTCACATGGAATGAGTCGCTCGAGATCGGTCATTGGATGGTGGGGCACTTATCGACAAGGTCACGTGGAACCCTAACTCCTCACGGGATCATACTACTTTTGCAGCACCTTTTCGGTACATAATTCTTTACTCATAAGCAAAGCATTGTTCAGTCGCAAACCGGATGGTGCTGGTTTAAGATGAAGTATTGTCGAGATGGAGAAAGTTGTTTACTAGGGTATACTTTCACCTATCGACAGTTGGTCTTTCCGTTATCCTACCATCCCCTCAATTCAGTGAGTCAAGTGTGCATATCGTAAAGGGGCCTTGATCAAACTCCCTTTGTAGGATTACAATTAAATTTCTGGTTATGCGACTTGAGCAAGCGTTAATATTACGTATTTCCCTGTATTGGGTTAAGTCAAGTTCAGACACCTCATCCAATACCTCCTAATATGGTGGGTCTATTCCTTGGTTTTACTTATTTATATAAATGTGTGGACCGGGACACTTTGGAAGTATGTCTTGATGTCCGTCTAGTGCGTGAAAGCAGGGATGCATGCCGTGGCGAACCGCCTCCGTACACACCTGCATTACTGACACTACTTCGGGTGTATACGTATACACAGGTGAGTTGATTCTTCCAGCTTGACCACATGATTTGATTTACGACAGCATGGGCAACATGTTTCCCACCGACCCTAGCGCTTGGCAGACTTATTTCTCCGAATTCAGTCTTGAAAGCCTCCCACAAGTCTCGTCAGCCACTGAAGATGAGCACTCCGTACGTAGACGAGTTTTGATAAATTGAGTTTGGGCTTCGATTCTGACAGAGAAATGAGAAATTTGTTCGAGATATGTACGTAGACATCACTTCCCTTGATCTCAGTGGAAGGAAGTACATCTACATCATATGCGACGTAGCAGCATTCGGCACTTCAGCATCAACTCTGCAATTACCCAGTGATGGTTTGCTGGTAATATACGCACGTTTTTTCACTGCAGCAGCGCCAATCACATTGAAATTTGAAACCGGAACGCTGCAAATCTATGCCGCTGAGACGAACCAGACCATATCTGTCAATGTCAGAAGACAAACCACTCCCCTCTCCCTTAGGCCTCAATCACCGAACGCAGGAAGCTTGCAGATCAGCTTGGGTCACTATGAACAACAAAAGGATCAGATGCGTTACAAGATTTAGCGAGTAACAGCACGCAGTTTACCTACACACTGACGCTGATGTATCCTAATCCACTCCCCACAGGAGTACCAAGTCACGGTTTGCAGTCAGGCGATCCAGGCGTGGCGGCTGTTCGATAAGCATATAGCTTCTTGCAAGGTATGCCACCTCTTCCCACATCTTGACAGATCTACAGTGGCTTACATATGATGATCGTAGCGAATCATGAGCAGTCTCGTGCCGCTTCTGTCTCCCGCTTTCCTTGAGGTAAATACGATGAAAGGTGCCTGGCAATCGACCACGAACGATTTGGATGGCTTGATTGAAACCATTGATCACATTGACGTCGTTACACTTGATGCGGTAATGCGTGACATTCAAACGGTTGCCCTTCTAGGGTTGTGGGAGGACCTGAAGAAGCACGGTGAGTTTGACCACGAAGGGTACACGAAAAAGTCTTTTTTGCGGATGGCTGATAACAAATAATTTCTAAGTGGAAGGAAAAATCATCCCGGTAGTTCACCTTTGGCATACCGTTTGCGATATCCTGAGTGTTGCAATTCCATGTCTGGGCAGCTCCTAGCTCAAACGGAGCGAGAATCTTTTTGAGTGAGGCTGATGTCGCTGCATTACTTACCGTATCAGTAAAATTTGCGAATATGACGTTGCCTCGACAGACATTTCCCCGTGGCACATGTATTGACTGCGGTAGAGACGTGCAGCGTTCTAGCAAGCTTCCACCGAGCAAAGTAAACAACGAGTATCCCACGAAAGCAACTGGAGCCAGTAGCATTTGCAGTGGTGTATATCAGATGATATGATGTAGATAGAGCACAAGTAGTACGCGTTCGTACGCGATTAAAAGGTATTTCATGCCGGGACTCTCAGGGATGCCGCCTCTGTACCGCCGAGATCTAATCCTGTACATCGACGCTGGAAATCACATGAGAAAACTTGCAAGTCACCCTCGATCAGGTCAATCACAAGGGTGATAGACAGCAACAGTGGCGTACACTGGAGGTTTCAGAATCCACGACGCATAATACGTCGGACACCTCCACGAGATCTCCTTCCATGTACCAGGTCCTACTACACTACAAAGTTAGTACTTCTATCACCAGCATAGCCTAAAATAAAAAAGAATGCGTCTTCTCTAGAACAAAACGCCTTGTTCCCCTGACCTCTAGGCCAATTTCCAGCTTTCAACTTCATCACGTGGCCAGCTGAAATTTTCTAGAGTAAGGTCAATGCTCTCAAATTGATGTACCGATACTGCCCACCTTCTACAGAAGGCATACATCTTGTCTTTACAGCTTCGTTCGCGGGTGACCGGAGTCAGTGGTGGATTTCGCTCCTCTGTAATCGGTGAGCCGTCGATTATGGAGAAGCTGAATCGCAATCCGCGCCCGCACTCATTCGTGTCCGCCTAAGTAGCGTAAACTTCCATCTACAGGCTTCTTATGTAGCAGCCCAAGTGCAGACAAGTGCATCTCCAGAATCGGGGAACTCTGTAGATCATTTCTTCATCTAGGTCTCATCAAGTGGATGGTAATTGCGGATGAGCTGAACCACGAACGGACACTCAAGCCTCCCATACACACGGCCGCTAATTCAGCTGCAAAAATGAACCCTCAACCTCCACGATGAAGGGGTGGGTGAAGATTTTGACGTTTGATTTGCAAACTCAGACGCTCGGCCCTGCTCGAGAATTTGAGAGAATTGGGGGCGAGAAGCTCACGTGCCATCCCTTCATTCACGCTCACGAGTACACCCGCTACCATCGCCTCGTACCTGGCGCAGGCGTCTGATACGTCGTGCTCCAACTCGCCTTGTACGTACTCGTCCCTACAACTGTGACGTGCTTCCTATCCGTAAAACTCCCCGACGTAACAACCGAGTTCACGATCCACGTCGACCACGGGTACGCCGTGGTGTCCCCTTTGATAGGGCTCAGCGGGACTGCGGTAGTTTCCGCCCACGCGCCAGACCACACAGTAGGCCCGGGAATAGGGTAGGTGGTCGTGCAGGGGGCGGTTGGGATGGTGCGGGTTTCGGTGGAGCAGTAGATCTGGCGGTGGTTAGTACGTCGTGATACGGGAGGAAAGGGACGACGGACATCATACACGATCCCCGGGTCCTCCTCCTTGTACGCTCCGGGGAACGACACGCCCTCAGGCAGCTCGACCGTGCCATCACCCACAACCTCGATCTGCACGCAGTTGGGGTAAAACTGGGTGCCGCGCCGCGGATTCTTGGTGTACGCGACTTCGCCCTCGTGGAAGGCGATCATCTCCGCGCGGATGAGGTAGCTAGCACCCTTCAGTCAACACACACCCCAACCATGACGAGACAGACATGAAGATGAAAATGACTTACAATCCCGCCTTCAGTCCCGCCGGCACCCTCACGTTCATCTTCCCATGCTTCTCCCTGATATCCCCGGTCGTACTCCACTTCCCTGGCTGCGGGAACGGGTTACTTTCATACAGCCCCTCCTCCCAAATCTTGACAAAAGTATTCTCACCCGGTGGATCCGGGCTGAGATACACGATGGACGGCCCGTGGTGGCTACTCGCGATGATGTCGTCGCTGTCGTTGCGGTAGTCGTGGTGCCAATCGAAGGTGAGATTGTCGCCGGGAGATACCTTGATGGTGTCGGGTGCTTGAATGTCGCCCATAACGTTGCAGCGGAGGTCGAGCGAGGAGAGGTTTTTCACCGGTGAGTTGGCGTACCCGCCTGCGTTGGGGGCGGCGTTGTAGGGCGGTGCACGGATGCCGGTGAAGAGGCCTTGGTCGACGCCGTTGACGAAGACGCCCTTGCTGGTCAGTCAATGGCCGGGATTTTTAGGGGGTGGCAGTACCCAGATGAAAGTGTGTGCGGTGGCATGGCTGCTGAGCAATGGGAGGACGAGGAGAGGTGCGCGAGACCACATGTTAGAAAAACACAAATTGGAAGAAACCTGTAAGCTGGACGACAAAAACACGGGAACAGAATAGACGAGAGAATGGAGCCGTTGTCATAGTATTGCTGCATATCTGGGATCGCTGTGCGCCAAGCCGATGGGTGATGTGCGATGCAATCTATTTGCTATATTGCCGCACTGCGAACGATCTATCGAGATAGCCGAAGGCGACGCGATACCAGACGATGTATATGAGCTTTTCGGTAAGCGGGAAAGCGGCAGTCATGCCGAACAGCTTCGTGATCATGCCGTGTGTGGCGCAATGATGCGAAATCGGTGTGACAGTACAGGATGTTGGGGGAGAGAAGTGGCTTCCAGAAGTTCAGGAACGAGGGAGGGTCCGTCAGCGATCTGTCCCAGCTTTCTAGTAAGTCCTGTCTGGTTGGTAGAGGAGCATCATCGCGATGACGCGGGTCATGAATCTTGCGTTGCCGTCGGAGAAGCGTGAGAGAGGTAAAGTAAACGTCATATGCGCCGCCACAGCACGGGAGCACTGGAGATGTCTCGCTTGCAGTAGACACCCCAAGCATCAGGCTGGGTGATCAGCACGAATGCTCTAGGAGTGAGGAGCCTATGCGCCCTCTTGCAGTCGACCACGGCGTTCCCAAAATCGTGAGGATCCAGCAGAGTCGAGCTCTGGTTATAGCTCAAGAGTCGCAGCTTGACCTGCGCTGATCAAAGCTTCACCTCCTCCGAAAGCCAGCCGTGTTCACCAGCAGAGCCATTGTGCATGCCAGCCAGGTATCAGCGCATGTCCATCTCGTCATCCTCATAGTCCTGACTTGGCGAGTACCCATTCTCCCTATCCCTCTCCTTCCTTGCCTCCTCCCTGCTCTTGCCGATCTTCCTCAATCCGTCCACCACGCCTGTGATGAAGCTCCTTGCCTCGCCCAGCTCCATGCCACCCACACCGTTCATCTTGAACCCGCCTCCAGCATCCAAAACTTCGACTCCCTGTCTCAACTTCGCCATCCGCACTTCTCTCAGTCCTCTGAGAAGCTTCCGCACCTCGTCCGCGTCGTCGAAGTCGTCTGGCGCGGCCTCGAGCAGCATGGAGCCCAGTTCTAGCCAGTGGTATGGCAGGGCGTCGGCCGCGGCATCGGCTGTAGAGGAGGGGAGAAAAGGTGAGGATAGCGGGACGACGGTACTGGACGATGGCGGTGGTAATCGAGGTGGCGGAGAGAAGGCGTCTGGCGAGTCTTCGGTCTCGAACTTCAGTATTGCGGCCAGTGAATGTGGCGAAAGCCACGGTGGAGGGATGATGTTGGCGCGGCGTTGGCGCTTTAGGAGTAGAGCCAGCCATAGCGGAATAGAGGCTCTTTGCGGTGGATTAAGTGGCTTCAGGGGCCCCTATAAATTCATTAGCCAATTCTCGTGATGTATGTATTCTGGTCGGCAGATGGGACGATGGTGGGGTGTAGCGGGGCAGGCGTACTCCAAGCAATTCGAGGCCTTCGAGGCGCTGCCGGGGTATAATGGTCACCAGCTCCATCTCGCATATGAAGGCTATTTCGGGGGGCGTTAAGCCCGGTGGGAGCGGCAGCGCCATGGCTGTAATCAAGTGTTGGTGGTGCAGTTGCAAACTTGCGACGCGCTTCCACGTCGGACGCGTAAAGGCGGCTGAAGCCTTCCCGGATTGGCGCTAGTTTTCTCAGGGTCCGTTTGGCGATTCCACCACACGTGGCCTGCACCTCCTCAGCATGACGGCGAAAGCAATTCCTTCTTTAAGATAAATAGGGCCAGAAGACCCAGGTGCGAGAGCAGATATGTCTTCGCTGCGGCAGGTGTGGGCGCTCCCCACGGTCCTTGTAGCCATTGCAAATATCTCGGCCACCTGGTACAAGCTTGTGTCCGAACGAGTGCCCAGGCCCTATCTTGTGAGCATTCATGCTTCAATTCACCCACAGCATCCGAGTAGTAATTTTTACAGGACGAATACTTTCACGTGCCGCAGGCCCAGAGGTATTGTCAAAAAGACTACACGTGGGATCCGAAGATCACCACACCACCAGGACTGTAGAGACCGCCAGTTGCTCATACTTATCCACGACCTGCTAACATACCCAGATACCTCGCTTCTCTTCTGATCAAACCGATAGCAGGATGTGACATATCAGCATTACGTGCTCTGAACGTAGGAGCCATTTGCCTAATTTGTCTTCTATCGTACCAAATTCGCCGGCTTCTTCGTAGGCCGCTTCCTCCTCGCCGCACTCGGACGGAGGCATCCGTCCCGCAATTCAAGGACGATGAGACCCAGACATCTCTTCTGGATGCCCATACCGCTCTCAACATTAGTTTGTTTCCGCCGCTGTTCTTCTTCTCTGGACTATACTACACCGATGTGCTGTCCACGCTCGTCGTTCTCGCTGCATACTCTACGTACCTAAGCCAGCGGGGAACACATAATTATCTTCTGTCGAGCTTACTTATTATCAACATCGGCGTACTGGCACTTTTGTTCCGCCAAACGAACATCTTCTGGGTTGCTGTCTTCCCAGCCGGCCTCGCGGTCGTCGACACGCTGAAGTCTTATGACGAGATGCTCGATGCACCCGTTGAACAGGCTGGACCAAGACGTAAGTTCGTTCGCCAATCAAAGCCGTGTGTACTGAGCAATTATCAGACTACTTCGCCTTCCTCTTCTACCTTCCCCGAGATGTCCTGATGAAACCAATAGCGGTAATCAAAGCCGTCTTCCCGTACCTCATCTTGCTTGGCCTATTTGGCGGCTTTGTCCTCTGGAACGGCGGTGTCGTACTAGGTCAGTCCTTTGCCCGTCCAAGCCTCCTCGACTGACCCAGGTAGGCGACAAATCGGCCCACATGGCAACCATCCACCTCCCCCAGATGCTCTACCTTTGGCCCTATATGGTGTTCTTCTCGCTCCCACTCACGCTACCTTCCCTCCTCCAGCCCATACTCCCCGTCCTCCCCAATCACCTCCGCTCACTTCTCGAAACCAACCTCACAGGGCCCTCATCGCCCTCATCGCCCATAGCACCTAGCGCCCTTGCCGCCCTCCTCTTCAACGTCTCCGCATTTGCAGCCGTCCACTTCAACACCATCATCCACCCCTACTCCCTCGCCGACAACCGCCACTACGTCTTCTACGTCTTCCGCCTCCTGTTCCGGCACCCGGTGGTCAAGTACCTCGCTGTAGGCGTGTACTACATTTGCGCTCTGCTCACTATCCGGATCCTCGGGGCGCCTCCCCATCCTGCACCCACGCCATCCGCAAAGACCGCGCCGAAGAGACAGCAGAAACTTGCCAGCGCGAAGGATAGCTCCGTTCAAATCAGCTTCGTCCTCGTCTGGGTTGGTGCCACCGCGCTCTCCGTCATTACCGCCCCGCTCGTGGAGCCCCGGTACTTCATCATCCCGTGGGTTATATGGCGATTGCATGTGCCAGTGGAGCCTGGCCGTGCGACTACGGTGCGGCTGGCGCTGGAGACGGCGTGGCTTCTCGCTGTGAATTTGGGGGTGGGGTATATGTTTTTGTATCGGGAATTCACGTGGGCGAGTGAGCCGGGGAGTGTGCAGAGGTTCATGTGGTAGGGGGTTTGCTTGGACCCATCATGTGTATGTAGAGGGGCAGTTGAATTGGGTGGAGTGCGTGTACAGAGGTCAAGGGGTTTGCGCTAAGCAGGGAGATCTGGGGTGATGTTTTGTATGTTCTTGAATTGATGTCTTAATTTAGTGTTGCGTATGTGACTTCTGACCTGCGTGCTTCTCAGACCTATTGCACCCTCGCACGTAGATGTTGTGGGCTACATCACGAGCAGCTAAATCTTTGCATCGCTCTACTTTGTTCCAAGCTCCCATGGATACCAACCGCCACCAGTTCTTTCCGCCCACCGTCATGGTGCCTCTTGTTACATAATGTCACCTAGCCTGGATGATAAAGTTTCACGAAACCTGCATACACTGGTACAACACTACGTTTGACTTTACGACTACCTTCATTACCATTTCTCATCCGATACAGATAATCGTTCGCAAGATCTCTGGGATTTATTGCAGTCGCGGCACAACGATAGATGCGAATACACGCCAAATTCAGAGCAGATTGAAGATGACTTGCTCTGAAGTTTATTCCTACATATGGCCTGATCATAGGATATTGGTACAGGGAGTATTTCTTGATTCGGTGCGGCCCAATTCGGGCCGGGGAGGATGCTTCGTCTATTGAATATACCCTTTGTGGGTTTATTGTGCGACTTGACAAATCGTATGGCTGTGGAATGCACGCCACGCGGCCTTGGTCTGGAGCGGAAAGCGCTACATTCATATTGTAAGTATCGTACGAATGCAGGGTCTGGGGTTGCGTGGCTTTGTCAGAGGATGAGCTGCAATCACCATGCAGCCATCATCTCCACAGCCACCTTCGGCTTCAAAATACAAAAACAGACATGGAACCTCCACGAACTATCACATATGCTAACAAATCGGCGATGCCCGACTAGCAATACGAGGATCTGTATTGAGGATGTGATGTGAAGGTGGCTTGCAGGCGGCGACGACGTGGTGGCGTGGTTTCATTTCAGAAAATTGTTCATATGGGGAGTTGTGTAACATCCGGCGTCGGATAGGTACGCGTTCCTGCCTGTGAATTGAATCGCCATCAGGATGGTAAATCCCAAGACGCCATGTCACGCTGCGTGAAAGCCGCAGTCCCATACATCATGCCATACTGGTTCCCGGAGATCTGCGTGTACGTTCGTGGTAGGTACGCGCATGGTCAGCGTATTCGTGTTCCTCATAGGGTAGCTGTGTAGTCAAGTCTGATACAGTCTGTGTACATGTCAATTCATACGTCCACGTCTGCAGTTCTTTACGCCAGTGCAGACGATGGTACTCTGAGTGCACGCATACACTCCTCATTCACACCAAACCCGCAAGCAATTCCAATCCGCATCCTCCCTCATGCACCCACCCCACTCCCCCAATTCGCCCCACCACTATCGCACCAGGGTCATCATAACAGCAATCGACACCTCCCCCCAACCTTCCAAACACCGCAATACCCCAAACCCTTTTCCCTCCAGCTCCTGCACTCCGTCGGTACGCTTCCCTTCTTCAGTAGCAGAAGGAAGCAAACGAAATTCGACACGGACGCGGAGAAATGCCAAAGTACCCTGGAATCTGCAGCCGGTGGTGCTATTTAGGGATGCAAACGCGGGTGAGCATGCGAGTGTACCGCGGAGCTGGGCGCGGGATGCGTGTGTGGCGGTTTTTCCGCGAATGGAGAGGGCGCACGGGGCAGGGGCGTGAAACGGAGGCGAGGTGATGTACGAGCTGTGTTGGAGAGTATGCGTGGAGCCTGGAAGGGTAGAGGACTTGTCATGGATGATGTATATGTGTGTGGGATTGTGGGTTTGATACGGTGGTGAGGAGGGATAAGTTTGTGAAGTCGTTCGCGGCATCCCGAGGTTATGGTTCTGTATGACGTGGGATGGCAGGCGATGATGCACGTGGAAAGCTAGATAATTGGATTCGGGGTCAGCGATTTTGCTCCTGCAGTGTGCATGCGGTAGATATATTTCCTGATTGAGCAGATAGGAGGGTTAGCCGTATTGAGTGAAAGGTGATGTTCCAAGTCGCAATGGTTTGAGCTCTTGCCACGTGGGAAAGACGTCGGCCCGTCGCTAGTAAGCAGGAAACTGTCGCGCGTTTACAGGCATGTCCTGGACCGATCATAACAGACACGCCGTGATCATAATAGGCCTACAGAAAACGTGATATACCCCGAAAAATCAAAACGAATCTCCAAAGATCATACTTGCCGGCCACCTCTCACTCTAGCGACGGAGACGCCAAAACCGCACTGTCGCAGTGGAGAAGCATTACAACACTATACTCGTTCTGCTAAGCCAAAGTGGGCGTGTCCTGATTGCGAGGAACGTAATCGTGTCGCAACTACGATCCTATGTGTGGTGTTATCAAGCACTAGGCTTCGAGGATAGCGCAACAACTTTGTCGCTCGATTGGTGATGGGCTTTGCGGCACCTTTCGAGGTATATCATGTAGATAGGGTGGCTGTCTTCGATCATACTATTACTCTGAGGGCATGTTGTGTTTCATTGCTGCTATCACGCAGCGGCTGGGTTAAGATTGGCGGAGCTGCTTCGACAGGCTCCGAGATTTCTTCGTGTCTCATAAACTGGAAGGTTTCGAGAATTGATCACATTCGGGGTGGTAAAGCTGTTTTTGCTCTGGTTTTGTCTGCGACCTGATCTCTCGACTTCAAGTTGGGTAGTGAGATGATGACGGACTTGCTCCTTCCTATCAGGAACTGGTTCTTGACTGAGACATTATGGTGACAAAGTGCTTCGTTTTAGAGCTGCCATGTGAATGTCATCGTGCAAATTTGGCACAGGTACTAGGTGCACTAGAGAACTCCGTAGCCGCTGCACAGGAAATTTCCTGGAAAATGATATCCTACTCAATACATAACGCTTGAGTTTAGCCTTGTATTGTCTCACCCTCAGTCATCCGCGTCTTGGCAACTGTAGTTTACTTCATACGTCTTCGGCGTCTTGACTTTCACGGATGGTAGTTTTTCAGAGTACGGAATAATACCAAGCGATCGCACATGGCTCGTGCAGGTGATGGGATGCCTAACAACAGCCCTCACCTCGCTAGCCGCTGTACTGAATAGACTTCGAAGAGCCATCCCGCACCTGGTGGGGCTCTATACGCGGCGTTGGAACCGTACCAGGGTTATCCTGGATGCCGGGGTTATTGTCATCGTGGTGGGTGAGAATGAGTACAGTACACAGCGAAACTAAGCTCGGCGGAGATGTATTATAGCGATAAGGAATGGCCGTTTGACAATTACTCAGATTCGCATCTCAATTTGGTATTCTCTGAACGTTTTGGGGCACGAGGGTGCAACAAACCGCGATTCGCGCATCCTTCTCGTACTGTTGTAGGATTCTGGATAGCCAATCGGTGTGCATCGGCTAGCCCATGATGTGAAGAATGCCTGCGTTAGTGATGGCGATGACGACCATTGCTTTGTCAAATGCGGCGCGGTGGCTGTGATGATGAGTCGCTTGCGGGATTTCGGATTTGATCGAGGACAACATTGTTAGTCAAACAGCTGACCTGAGAGCACAAATCTCATCTCGGAACAGGGTAATCGAACACTCTAGGAACTGGTAGCCTAGAGAAAACCAGTGTCGACATGGGAGCAGTGATATCACGGAGCACGTGCATTGAGGCTGCAGCTTTGTGATGCTTGGCGACAGCTGTTGGAACGTTGCTGCGGTGTCGGACGAGCGAACAAGGTTCCCCGAACTGCATGGACCGCAACCGGATCAGGCCGCGGAACTCATGCGAGAACATGACCTCGACCAGGGTCTTGTATCGTAAGGTAGGCACCGTAGCGACGTTGAACATAGCCAGTATCAACCGAAGTGACCAGATTTCCGACCCCCAAGCTACTGGGCATGGTTCCTTTTTTATGCTTACCCTACTCATGAAATCGAGGCGAGCGCTGACGCGGGTAGGAAGCGGCAATGGTCATAAATTCAGATAACCCGTGAGATAGCAGTTCGACTGATTGGGAAAGATGGCGTTGCGTGCTGATCGCAATTCTCGACCGGCGATCCCGTATTCCTCTGGAGACCGCGTTAGCGCCTACGGTCCAGTTAATTATTTCCAAGACAACAGGGCTCTTTGTCTTAGTCGGCAACTTTTGTATGTATGAGCGTCACGCGCGACCCACTTGTTTTCACCGCGCAAGGGCGTTGTGTTCGAGCGTACTCGTACACAGTATAGCTGCGACGGGATCTAGCGTTAACGGCAGCCAAAGAGAGCATACAGTTCAAGGACGAGCCGTATGCTGGTTGACCGCTGCCATCCATGCCGAGACACGAAGTATTCCTCGTATACACAATACGGGTAAGAAGGCACGTGCAGTGTAATCAACCAGCGATGCCCTATTGTGAAGTCTTGTTGCTCGATCACCCCCGCAGTCATGCGCAATGGTTGAATTGTCGTTACCAATCGAGATGTTCGAGGACCACACGCGACGTGGGATCTAGAGCTGCGCGGATGCTCCCGTTGCAGCCGTAGAGCCTTAGTGGCTTCGAGCTTGAAGAGGCGGACTTTTGTCCGACTGCTCAACGTCCGCGCACTAACAAAATATGTGGACTCCCGTTGACGTCGTCCCGGCAGAATCTACTGCATGCTCGCTATTGAAAGCCAACTCCCTGCTGTGGCCGTCGGTGGCGGCTTTAGTGACTTCATGATAACAGTTCTCTCCTGAACCACCCATTTCGAGAGAATGCGACCGCAGCAAAGTGTGGGTAAGCCCACTAAAAGACATCGGAACGGGACGATGCCACCAGCTAGAAAGTTAGGAAGGCCTCCGGTGGCAATACGAGAGTACCCGATATCCGCGTGAAGGTACGGAACTGTCGTGAAACCTTAAAGTGCACGTCGTGGTGCTATTACATTGCTCGGTATCCAAGGTCCTGGTGGCCCGATAATACAAGCCTGTGTGTGCGAGACAAAAGCTGCGACCTCTAGGCTACCTGCACCTCTTTCCCGAACGGCCGGTCCTGGTGGAGGATGTTCACTTTCTGCAAGTGCTCGCTTCGAGACGACCAGGATCGTGGCGAGTTCTGCATTGCGGGTGGTTGCAGAGTGCCGATTCTTGGAATGAAAAGACCCACTACGCATGTACGGTACAGTTTCCATTAACTCGGTACAACGATGGGATGTTAGCATTGCACGGGTGGGGTCCATCACAATACACACAATGGCTAAGTCTTGTCGAGAAGTGGTGACTTTTTCATGGTCCACAAGGGTGAGGCTGGTGTAGAGGAAGCGCCTGAGTATGGCCTACCAGACCACCGGTACATTTGAGAAGTCGGCACACCATATGAGGATCGTCGTGAGTGTTAATCTGAAGTGGGATCGCGGCCAGATCCGGCCAGTACCTCAGATCTGGAGCTCTCCACTCCCCGATGTTGGGGGTTGCAGCGTCTTGTGTGGAGCGTAACCCTGGAGCGATGGTGGTTCCTGGCTGCTTCTGAGGTCCGATCCTTTGAGTACAGGCTGGAGGGGTGCGGGGGTAGGTGGGACATGTGCGGGAGGCCTGGGAACCTGCGGCCATTGCGAACATTATCGGGTAGTGGCTTCGAAGGTCAGGCTCCCAGGCAGCGCCAAGCACGGTGGGATGGATGCATGAGCTGTTGTTTACGTTGACGAAAAGGCCCAAACGTGGCCAATGGGATGCAGTCCGTACGACGGAGGGATAGAGCCGCTCACAGAGGCGTCGAAAAGCGATGATCACTGTGCATCCCGGCCCCTTTGGCGGCCTTAGCGTCGCGTCCCTAGCGCGCCGGAGGCAGACTGGCGCGAAGGCTCGCCTGCAGCCCACTGTGCTCCTGGTTCGCGTCCGGCATGTGCAGCTGCGGGTCTTATGCAGGCGGCCGCGTCCACTGTCGACGTCGTGCCTCCTCTCCCCTGACGCGGACGCGCTCGAGGCTCCCTCGTGCAGCTTGTCGAGTCGATGCGTGTCGAATGTAGCGGTCGCCGGAGCGGCGTTTTTGGGCAGGCCGGCACGGACCCGCTCGACCTAACGCTGCCCATGATATATGAGGACGCTGCTCCGGGCAACGGCGCGATAACGGGGCGTTGGGGGTGCAATTGGCTGGGTGAATAGCACGCACAGGCTGGTGGACGGCCGTGCAAGGAGGAACAGAACGGCGACCAGGGAGGATCCACCACACGCCCGCGCTGGCGTCCGCTTTGGGCCCGCGCGAACGAGCGTGGCGTTGGCTTGACGCCTGTGCCCCAGGCGGCCCCTGTCGAGGAGCAGTGGAGGCGACTGACAGCGTCCACGGCTCTCAGGGCACCTGCAGAGTTCTGCCAGCCGGCAAGGTGCCCTCTCGCCGGGGTCAATGAATCACATCAAGACGATCTGCCCGAGGCCCTCTCCGCGTCTGCTCCAGGGCTGTCCTCGAGTTCACTCCGCCTCTCCTCTCCTGCACTTGTACCGCGTTGCGGCTGCCGCACCATTTCAAGCTTCTTCCTCCTCGCGTGGCCCATACTCGAGCTTGATCGCGACCGTTGCGACCGCAGGCACGACCCTTGCAGCACCACGGCAGGCACCACACAGCGCACTTGCCTGTGCAGCGGCCCCTCCCTACGGTCAGCATTCGTCACCATCACTCCAGGGCTGTCTAGACAGCTATCTCCTGGCTGCACGCCCCGCACCGTCGACAGCATCCAGTCTGGCTGCCAGCACTCACTACAACTGCATCCGCCTCGCCCAGTTCGCGCGGCCGCAGACCTCGCCTGCCAGAAACTCGCGCCGTTACAGCCCTCTACAGGTGCAACCGTCTGCGATTGGCGTCTGACGTTGTGTTTCACGGCACGCATCCCGCCCGTTTTCCAATTCGTCATCCTGCTGCGCCAGCCGGGAGCCCGAATAGGAAACCTGGGCAGCTCGAGCTTTCTGTCGCACGTTGCTCTACGAACGTGCTGCAGCCTGCTGGGCGACCGCTACGACTTGCGCTCTGAAACGCTCTGCATCGAATCTCGCAACCTCTGGTCCACGGGTACGTCTTTTCCCGTTGGCGAGCGTCACATTCTTGGAATCGGATCATTCTTGCGGAACCATTCCTCCTGCCCTAATCACAACAATAGCACACAAGCCAACACTAACACCGTCATCAGCCAAACAACATCTATCGATACCGATACGCTCAGACCCTCTTCCCCAATCTTACCCAGAACTCCACATCCGCCAGGAACCGCAAAGCCCGCCTTTCACAGAGCTCCAGCATTGGCCTGATTCGATGCCGCAGCAAAATTGAGTCGCATACTTAGCGCGTCAGTCTTGCCCAGCCTCCCCGAGCATCATTCCTCAGAGATGGAGTCCGCCATGGCCGACCTCGTCTTCGAATCAGACGACACAAACAAGCACGCGAGTGCGATGGTGGCCCCATTGAACATCCAGAAGTCGCCCAAGCGGTCGCGGAGCACACGCCTCGGGCATTCTCGACAATCATCGTCACGGGGAGGACAATCAACCACATCTCAGTCGCATATGTCCCCACCGCTAACGCCACGGTCCTCAAGAGACACACTTGCGGAGCAGCCGTCACAACCCCTCTTTCACAACTACCTGCGCGCCTTCTATCACTTCCACCCCAGCTCCACAGTATCGTCCTCGACCGATGAATCCTCTATCACTGTACCTATCAACCAGGGCGATGTTATCCTCGTGCACTCGGTCCACCCAAATGGCTGGGCTGACGGAACCTTGTTGGCATCCGGAGCTCGTGGATGGCTGCCGACAAATTACTGCGAACCCTACGATCATCCGACAATACGGACACTGCTGAACGCGCTCACTAATCTCTGGGACCTTGTCCGCGATGGCGAAAACGGCGACTTGGTGGTCTTCATGAAACAGGATTATATAAGAACGCTGATCGCTGGCGTTCGCTTCTTCCTGGTGAGTAAACATCAATTATGCTTCCTCTGATTTAGAACATCACTCACGCATTGTCTAGGAAAAAACAGACTGCCTGACCAGGGAGTCACCCCTCATCGTAGCTCATGTTGGTCTCCGACGAATGCGCAAAGGGTTACTGGGCGACCTATCTTCTCTCGTCAAGACCGCTAAGAAGTTGCAGGAGGTGCTGCAGACCAACGACTCACCTGGCCTGGTTTTTGGGCGCCTGGACGAACTCGTGCTCAAAGCATTCAAGCTTGTGACTAGAGCTGTCCGATTCCTTGATATATGGGCGCAAGATGCGGTGTCGCTGTCATTTGACATGGGGGAGGGCAATAATAGACCTCTGACCCCTCCGTCTGACTCCGCTGATCTCGCCGTGCAACCGGCCGCAGCGTCGAATCAAGACGACGCAGGCAGTGCGCCAGCGAATGACGATGCAGCTTCTGTATCACAAGCGAGCGCAATTGTAACGCGCGAGCCATTGGACCACGAAGCAACGCAACCACGCAACCTCGCTCGTCTTTCGGTTGCTTTCTCGATCCCTTCAGACTCTGACGCGCTCCAATCACCTCTTTTCCCGCCCCAGGCCCAAGCTCTGGGGAAACGATTATCTGTTACGCACCGGCTGTCGTACACCGGAAAGTCTCAAAGCACGCGAAAACATAACCTTGCCTCCGAGCGGCTGAATGCTGCACACGATTCTTTCTTGGGCTTTATAGGCTCGTTCATTGGGCTGCACCTGCAGTCGCGCTCGTCTGAAGAGCTTGCGTTGACTACACAAGAGTCAGTCATAGCGTGCCGTAACCTCCTCGCAGTCGTCGAGGAAGTATGGGAGCGCGATTCTCGAAGATCGGAACAACTGCAGCAGGCAAGAGAGATGATGTACACGCGACTCGCAGAACTCGTCCAGGCGACCAAAGACATGTTCAGCAGCTTCGAGGCGGGGATGGATGACGAGGTGATCATGCCAGACCAGGGCAAACACCTTGTCGTTGCTGCCACGAGCTGTGTCCGGTCAGCTGGAGAATGCGTTACCAAAGCAAGATTGGTTATCGAGCGCATAGGGGACTTCGAGTTTGAAACCGACGAACAAGGCCTATCTCACTCTGTCTTCGATCAACTCGACCAAAACCGACCAAGTCTCGATCAACCACATGACGCGCCTCAACCCGAAGTATCAAGTCAACCAGAACGAATCGTAGAAACCGAGAAACCGCTCCCGCCGCCGCCAATGGAGGAGCGTAAGCTGCCACCACCACTGGTCATTTCGGACTCGAAACCACTTCCTGACGTCCCGCACTCAAGCTCAGCGAGCAATCAGAACGCAGGTCTTCGGCCTCTTCAAAGCTCTACCGCCGAAAGCCCGGTCGCGACCTCGTTTCGGTTGTCCATGTCTTCTCTGCCGCAATCCCTGGTCCCAGGCGCCGTGCCACAGCTCCCCCAATCGACTGCTTCGGATTACTCCCCAAGTCCTGCTAGTGCGACACAGCGCTTCTTCGGAAAATCAGCTAGAACTGACAGTGTAAATGCGTCCGTAGCTGATTCTAGTAGCACATGCAGGTACAGCATGCGCGGCGAGACTGCTAGCATAGTATCGCAGACCTCAACCAGAGCAACGACTCCCGATCAGTCTCCTGCGAAGAAGCATAGCGGTCAAACGCTCGTTAGTAGCTTTGGTAGCTCATCAGAACTCCGCTCCGTCGCGAGCGAAGACGTCGAGGCGGTCGAAGAGCATCTACTCGAAACGACATACTCTCACGAACTACTCTATAACAACAACGGTCAGGTCTCAGGAGGATCTCTGCCAGCGTTGGTGGAGCAGTTGACCTTGCACGATTCAACACCTGACACAAGCTTTGTCACCACGTTCTATCTTACGTTCCGGTTGTTCACCACCCCGGTTGAATTATCGCAATGTCTGATCAGTCGGTTTGACCTCATTGGCGACAGTCAGAGTGTGGGCATTCCTGTCCGTCTGAGAATCTATAACGTCTTCAAGGGCTGGTTAGAAAGCCACTGGGTCGTTGAATCTGACTCCGCGGCTCTCGGCATCATCTTTTCTTTTGCCACAGGAAAGCTCCGATCGGCTCTGCCTGCCGCAGGCAAACGCCTTGCAGAATTGACTTCCAAAGCCACCGAGATCCGAGCTGGGGCTCTGGTGCCCCGCCTCACGTCCTCTTTGGGTAAGACCGGTGTCTCCGGCTCCGTGTTCATTCCCGCCGACAACACAGCACCCAGTTCCAACATCACCAGGAGTCAGCTGAACGCCCTGAAAGGGTGGAAAGACGGCAAGACGCAATGTAGCATTCTCGACTTCGATCCACTGGAAGTGGCCAGGCAGTTCACCATCATCGAGTCAAAACTGTTCTGCACAATACAGCCGGAGGAGCTGCTTGCCTCGGAATGGATGAAGAAAGGAGGGAAAGGCGTCAATGTCAAGGCGATGGCTACGCTCTCGAACGATCTGACCAACCTGGTTACAGATACGATCCTACATGTAGAGGACGCCAAGAGAAGAGCTATTGTCATTAAGCAATGGGTGAAGATTGCGACCAAATGCGTAGAACTCGACAACTACGATTCGCTGATGGCAATTCTCGCTTCGTTGAACACTACCACTGTGCTTCGGCTGAAGAGGACCTGGGAGCTGGTCTCTGGCAAAACGAAGGCGCGATTCGATGAGCTCAAAGCAGTCACTGACTTCAGCAAAAATTACGCTGCCCTTCGTCAGCGTCTCCATGACCACGTCGCACCCTGCATCCCGTTTGTAGGCATGTATCTCACTGATCTTACATTCGTGGACGCCGGGAACGAGCCTACTCGTCCGCTACCGGGTGATTCTGGAGCAGAAGGTCTTTCCGTTATAAACTTCGATAAACATATGAAGACCGCAAAAATCATTGGGCAGTTACAATCCTTCCAAGTACCATATCGCCTGACAGCGGTACCGGAAATGCAGGACTGGATTGAATCCCAAATACAACGAATGCACTTGAGCAAGGAAGCCAACCCCCAGAGCTTCCACAGACAGTCATTGCTCTTGGAGCCTCGTGAGCCTCCTCGGGTGGTAAAAGCCGCCCCTCCTCCCATCAACAATGGTGCAACCCACACTGCGGCCGCCGACAATCGCCCTGCACCCGAGGATCGGTTCGGGATGCTGAGTCTGTCCAACTACTTCACCAATAACACCAAAGACCGGTAGACCCGCTACTTTCTGAACTGCTTTTCCACGCAGCTGGCCTCATTTTTGGATATATGGTATATAATTTTCGCCCAGTGCACGACCTGGTATTTTTCTCGTTCGCCTAGAAACCGATCAGCAGCAAGCTGATGATGACGCTTCTTGCTTTTGTTTTCTGTCTATTGTAACGGCCTTTAACGACACTAACGCTCAGTTTCTTGTTTTGTTTGTTCAGATACCACTATTAGCGTTTTCTGTTACTTTGTATGGTCTGCGGCCGCGATCAGCGGGCTCTGGCCACCCAAGGGTTTTCTAGGTGATGGCGTTCGATACCGGAAAGGAAACTTGGGTGTCGGAGTTGAATGGACCTGGCAGAGGGTTTTGTGTATAGATGGGAAGGACAAAAGCATGGGAAGAGCGTGGTTGCGATATCCAGTGTATAATCTTAGTCGCATGTGCATATCGGGACACAGAGCCCAAGATAATGGAAGTGGAATCTATCCAGTCTGCATCAGAACCAAGTGCGGTGATGCTTGAATACGGGCAGTTGTCGTTGAGTCGCGCCCCCTCAGCCGATGATGGGCCTGGTTACTTGGTCGAGATCACGAGCCTTTTGCGGGCACGTTCTCGCAATGACAGTGGTGGTGGCTGAAGGGTGCTGTGGCGCTCTGGACAGCGACAGCCGGTTTCGTCCAGCTCCGAGAGCTTCCACGTGCAAACATTGCACGAAACGTTTTTTCTGCTGCCTACCCCTCTCCTGCAAAACGTGCCCTTATGAGTCTGTTCTCCTCGTTCATTATTGATCCAGTTGTGCGCCAGGCGCGTCGCTTCTCGGGCGCTGCTCCAGATGCTGCCATCAGCGATGGCCAGCGCCCGTCTTCACATGCCAGAAACATCGACTCTCGCACAGCATCCTCTTCCCTTCGTGATGGCAGCACAAGAACGCCCGTTGGAGTTGCACAAGCTAGCAGCAACAATGCATCCGCACCAGAAGTAGAAGCTCGGCACCAGGAGCCATCCACTCATGATTCTCCCTCCGCAATTCGCGACGAGCAGAGGCACAGCAATGACGGCACTGTGCAGCCCCCACTAGGCTTATCGCGCCGCATCACTGCACCCAGCGCACCTATTCATATACCTGGAGATGGAGAAATGTCCGCGAACCCCCCGCATACTCTGGAAGTCCAGCTCCGACGTCTGAATCTCGATCCCTCGCATGCTGCAACGCCTGCTCGCGACATCGCCCGCCCAGCCTCGATCGCCGACGGACAGAATGCACCTCCCATGTCTGAGTCGCTGCCCGCAGACGATGGCATGCGCCATCTGCGGGCGCGCATCCACGAGATTAGGGCTCTGAAGGTTGGCGATGTGGACAAGGCTCGCATGATGCATGGCCTCATGACGGAGCGCTACAATTATCTGCGGCCCACGTCGCCCAGCAGCTTTGTCTCACACGATCGTCCCCTGACACCCACGTCGAGCCAGTCCTTCTTCTCCGAAGTCCACTACTCTTCACCCGTTTCCGTCGCGTCCGACATCGACCCAGACAATCCTTTTAACCTGCGGCCTGGTGACACGTCGCCTACATACCGGCCTCAGCCAACGCACCCTAGCCCGGACGGTGCTATCGAAGACGAGGAGGCCGAGTTGTTCGAGGAGGAATCCTCATTTGGTTGCGAGCACTACAAACGCAACGTCAAGGTCCAATGCTTCGAATGTCGGCGATGGTATACTTGCAGGCACTGCCACGATGCAGTAGAAGGTCACAACTTGGACCGGAAGAACACTCAGAACATGCTGTGCATGGCTTGTGGCACCCCACAGAAGGCTACTGAGTACTGTACGCAATGCGGAATGCAGTCAGCATGCTACTACTGCGACATCTGCAAGCTGTGGGACAACAACAGCAGTAAAAAGATCTACCACTGTCCTGATTGCGGCATTTGTAGACGGGGCGAGGGGTTGGGCAAAGACTATGTGCACTGCAAGGTACGCTATGTGTAGTATGCAATCGCCGTGGGCCGACTAACGCACGCCAGAATTGCAATGTGTGCATATCGATAGCCTTCGCCACAACGCACAAGTGCATTGAGCGCGCTACTGACTGCGACTGCCCTATATGCGGAGAATATCTGTTCAACTCTTCCACGGCCGTTGTGTCCATGCCATGTGGCCATTACTTACACAAGGACTGTTACAACCAGTACATGGAAACCGCATACAAGTGCCCCACATGCAAGAAGAGCGCTGTCAACATGGAGCTGCAATGGCAAAAGCTGACTCAAGCCATTGAGAGCCAACCTATGCCTGAGCAATTTGTCAACACACGTGCAATCATTCAGTGCAATGATTGCGCAGCAAAGTCCTCTGTTAAGTACCATTGGCTTGGCAACAAGTGCAACTCCTGCGACTCATACAACACCAACGAGCTCCGCATCCTGAACGGACCAGAGAGCGAAGAAACTGCGAACGCAATTCTCAACGCAGACAGCGACGAATACTCTGGAGCTCGATCGCCAATCAGCATCAGCTCGCCTGCGTCCTTACCTCTTCGTTCTCCGCGTTATTACTTTCAACCCGACGAGCCGGAACAAACATGGCTACCTGGCCAACTTCCGTCTTTCCCGTTCCAAATACCTCAGTTTCCGGGCATGCCTTCGGGACAGCTGCCATCATTCCCGTTCCAGATGCCGCAGTTTCGGGGTATGCCACAATTTGCAGGCATGCCTCGCATGCCCGAGATGCCGCAGATGCCTCAGATGCCGGACCCGTCCGAACTGCTAGATCGCGTCCGTCGTTCTTTCGACTACTATCTCAACCCTACCGGCGAGATCCCTAACGAAGCCGTGCCTATCATCGACTTAGACGAAGAGCCACGCGAAACGCAAGCCACAGACGGCACAACCGTCCAGCTGCCCGCTCTCCCCCAATACATTCTTGAACGTTTCAACCGCTCGATATTACCCCTGCGCAATTATTTGAACCCCGCTATCGACCAGATTCCCACACTGGATCTGTCTGAGGATCGCGATGCAAATGGCATGCAGTTCTGGGGTGAAGATGGCGGACTATTTGACCGATTCCTGTCCGGTGGTGAGGAACGGGACGATGAAAGTAGTAGTGACGAGAGCGAACATGAAGAGGATGAGGGCGAGGCTGAAGAAGACGACGATGACGATAACGACATTGACTTACCAGGACATCGGTGATACTGGGTCCGCGAGGGCTTCATTTGGACATTGCATTGCGGGCGTTAAAATGGCATACACCAAAAGCATTCTTGGACGGCGTAGTGGCATCGGACCATTTTACATACGACATGCAAAGAACAGGGATGCCGCAGACATGAGTGAGAGATCGTAGCAGCACAAATTGTATGCTTAGAATTTACATTAAATGCCCATGTAACTCCACATTCTCAACAGGCCATTTCCCGACTCTGGAAGTTAACTGACTTAGGTAAGCGCTCGGCTAGTTGGTGGCTTGGCAAACCGAAATTCCCACACGCCGCGAAAATCGTTGCTTCGCTTCCCGAACTTCAGCACCAAGCCGCCCGTCGTCCTCACCACCACTAACAACGCAGCGGAATTTCTCAGTAAGACCCTTCTCTCTTCTCGCACACTGCGCATCAAGCTCAATTGCGCCACTTCTACCATCGGGCCCTGCTAACCACCTCCAACCACAGAGATGTCCACCGCAGCCAAGAACAGCGGCAAGAAGCCCGCCGGCAAGACCCAGCGCAGCGCCATCGCTGATGTCGTCGCACGCGAATACACCATCCACATGCACAAGCGCGTACGTTGAGACCAGTTTTGTGAAGTCCACCGAATACCGCGCGCTCTGTACAAGGAGCGCGTGGGTAGGGCGGAAGACTGTTCGAGATGTACAACGGAGGCTAATACATGGGTCGGTAACAGGTTCATGGTGTTTCCTTCAAGAAGAGGGCCCCCAGGGCTATCAAGGAGATCCGCGCTTTCGCCGAGAAGGCCATGGTACGTGGGACATCTTTTGGGTTGCGATGAGTGCTGTCACGCGCATTGCCTCCCAAGCTCGCACTGTCGGGTGCAATGAGCTAACAAGTATCGCAGGGCACCAAGGACGTCCGCCTAGACCCCCAGCTCAACAAGAAGGTGTGGGAGTCCGGCATCAAGGGTGTCCCGTTCCGCCTGCGCGTGCGCATCTCGCGTAAGCGTAACGACGAGGAGGGCGCCAAGGAGAAGCTCTACTCTTACGTCCAGGCCGTCAACGTCAAGGACCCCAAGGGCCTACAGACCACCGTCGTCGAGGACGCGTAAATTCGTCTCGACTGAGTGAGCGTGGAGGACGACCGTGACGAGGCATGGATTGCATAAAAGGATGGCGTTCCGGCGGGTGCTGAGTAGCTATTTTCCCATCCGTACGACAAGCGAAAAGCTTGAATGATATCCAATGAAGGTTCATACCCGCCGTGTTAAGGTCTGCCCATCGCCGTGATTTTGTGAAGCTGAACTTGCTAGTGTATCGTATTTTTTCAGTGTCGAGGCATTTGTCCATTCTTTATATATGCTACCTTCAGAAGCTATCTTCATGTCACTAGCCGTTATTTACGCCACCATGCTCTGGCTCCTCATTCCCCCATTCCCTCACTCTTCACCGTATCCTCAACCTCCTCCAACCACCCTACCCTATACTTCGTAAACTGCTCCCTCCTGGGCCTCAACGCACCCTCCATAACCCTGAAATCATCCACAGTGCCAATCCGCGGGATCTTCATACCAGGAAACCCGCCTCCTACCCTATACATCAACGTGCCACAAGTTCTACAAAAGTAATTCGTCATCAGATGGCCCCGGCCGATAGTGTCTGATTGCCCAAACGCAGTAAGGTTGGCTTCGCCTCGGATGAAAGACGTGTGCGTGTCGAGGACCGTGAAGTTGGAGGCGAACATCGAGGCGGTGATCTTGTGACAGTCGGGGCAGTTGCAGATGAAGGTGTCGACGAGGCCGGGGGCGGTGAGGGGCTGTTTGGGGGTCAGTATCGGTGCTATGAATGTGGCGGGGAGTGGAAAGCGGGACGACGTGGTGACAATGGTGAAGGAGAGGGGAAACGTACGACGCGCAGCTGGACGGCGCCGCAGAAACAGGTTGCCGTGGCTTCTGTCTCTGTGGACCAGCCGTCGCGGGCGAGGCCGGCGAGGGGGAAGGCAGAGGGATGTATGTCGGGCGTGGATTTAGTAGCGGCCATTCGAGGAGATAGCACAGTAGAGTTAAGTATTGGTGATGGGCTAGACAGAGGAGATTGTGTGCTCGTGGAGTCGTGCAGAGTCAAGCGTATGCTGGTAGCTTTTACAGGAGCAGCCTTGCGCCTCTTTTTATACAGCAAGACTCAACCTGAGGAGCATGCTTGCATACAGAGCTTCTGTAGCAGAGTACGCGAACATGCCAATCACCGTCCCCGATGCAGTGGGGGCTGCGCTGGGTGGTTGCACTATCTACGCTGCGCCGTTCGGACCGAACACACCCCACGCCCGAATCTGAGCTAGCATTTGTAAAGCACTTCAAGGGGCGCATGCTCAACGCAGTACGCGCGGATGAGTTAATACCTCAAGTGCTGCTCCAGCTCGATTCAGTATGCAGCGCGGGAAGGAGGGTAGTGAAGTAGGTAAGCCGCGGGGAGATTACAAAGCAGCGGCGATCGCTCGGGGATGCGCAACGCAACTCCAATCAGGTACGCATGGTATCTATTATCTTCTGCTACCGGGTATAATTCAATCCTCCCACTTACAAGACCTCATTTACTCTTTAAACACTTTCAAATAATTAATCCGCCAGTAGCTTTCCGCAAAAGCACTTGGATTGTTCGCCACATACTCGTTGCACGTCGCGGCCTTCTTGCTGCATACGGGGTTGCTCGCCCAGACCGCGTTGCCCCAGTCGCCGCAGAAGGTAGTGTCAATGACGAGCTTGTGATTAATAAAGTGCTTGTTGAAGTCGCAGCCGCTGCCGGCGAAGTTTGCGCTCGGCGTGCCCCAGAGCGAGGGGTCTGGGTTGTTGCCATACATGTTGTACGGGATCGAGTCGCGCGGGAAGAACCATATCTTAATGCCGGTGGAGGTCCACTGCATCGCGTAGATGCCGCCGAATTTCGGGTTGAGGGGTGTGCCTGGATGTGTGTTAGGAAGTGCTTTAATAACAGTGTGCATGGCTTGGTTGCATGCACCGCTTAGCCTCGAGGGGACGTGACGCACCGAAAGAAGATGCTGATTTGTCGTCGACACCGCACCCGGCATTGCTCGTCTGGCCCGCAGCGTTGATGTAACAGTTCTTCGTCTTGACGGTGCCTGTGGAACCAGTTCCAGTAATAGTGCACCCGTCCGAGGTGTGCAGGGACATTGCGTTTCTCGTGGAATCATGGATGCCTTCGATGATGTCGATTTCTCCATTAGCCGGCCACGTCTTCTCCGGGCCGAAGGACCAGAAGCTTGGCCAGCTGCCGCAGGTGCTGGCGGGCATGTGCATTACGTCCAGGATGAAGAGTCCGCGATTGTACATCTTCTTGCTCTCCAGTCGTAGACTGGCGCGGCCGTTGGGTGCGGCGTTCTTGCTGTCTACATTGAGGTAGACGTTGTTACCAGACACCTGGTAAAGACCTTGGGCGAGGGCTTCGGTTTGGTTCTGGTAACTATGGAGATGAGCCTAAGGTTCAGATGAAAAGAAAGAGGGCTGCTCACCGGACAAATCCATTGGTTGGATCAGCACCCGAGTAAAAGTCGAAGCAGTTCTGGAAGGAGGAACCGATACAGCTGTCCTGGAGAGTGTATGCTGCGGTGGCCAGCGAGGCGCTTGATAAAGCAACGTAAAGAGTGTTCTGCAGATGCATGGTGGTATATTACGAATTATAGACAGATAAAGGCAAATGAAGGAACGACTGCGAACAAGCTGAACGTGCTTCTCGCGACTGTGCAACGCTGCGATATATCTGCAGGGCAATGCTCTACGGCCGATAGACCTGGAGGAAGGGACTGCGGATGTATATCCGAAGCACGATAGCCACTAATGCAGGTACATGTGAAGAGAGTCAGCCATCTCAAGCCCATGATCAGGCATCACTGTGACCCCTTACGGGGCGCCCGCCCTCATTTGCGTGGACGAGATGGTGGGCAGCTGCTTTGGATCTGGAGGCTCGTGATTCAGCCAATAGATTATTGTTGCTGATTGATGCGAGTCATCCTTGGCTGAAATAGGCGATATTGAATCAGTTTGTCTTTTCTGGACACGAGAGGGCTGGCTGGGTAAGCGATGAGGCGTTCGGCAAGTGTGCCTGGACCGACGCCGGACCGTGTTAGTTCGCGATAGTAGCTTCTTCGTGGGAAGCTTCAACAGACTAATTGCGCGGCAAGATAATGGTGGTGAAGTGGTCATTTGCTTTTTTTTCTTTTCTGAGAATGCTGCTTTGCTTCTGGGCGTCAGCAGGGACATTGCATTCGGTAGGTGGTATACATGGGTGGTGTTCTATACATGGCGACGCGGTTAATTTGCGCCAACCCTAGCCTCATCAGGTGCATGATGGGGCGCGAATCCTAATTGATACACCGAGACGTCTCGGTCATTCGGCCTGCAATCATTCAGCGTAGGATCAACTTGTAATCTCACTGCTCCCTGCTCTCTTCGCCGTTCTTTTCCTCATCGTCGTACCAGCCCAGGTATTGCGCAAGGTATTCGCCGGTCAAGCCAAGCGTGATTCCGCCTCCAGTAAACCAGGCGCCATTTTTGAACCACCACCAGCAATCCTTTACGTCTTTGAGTTGGACTCGCCAGATCATAGTGCCCAGCGTGGCGGCGGCGCTGCCGCATGCACCGGCAAAGAAGACGGGCCCCATACCTGCGGCGACACCCGTGGCGGCTAAGAAGCCGATTTGCACGACGGCAAGACCGCTTAGGACAGCCTTCGTTTCGTTTTCATGCTTCAATGCAATGCTCTTAATGCCAGCTTTTGCGTCATCTTTTATGTCCATGTGAGCGTAGATCATATCGTACAGAACGGTCCACGCGATGTTGCTGGCATAAAGGCACGCGGCGGCTGTCAGCGCAGCTTGGTTTGAAAGAAGATCAACTCCCAGCGCAGGGAAGCCCATCATGGCACCCCAGGAAAATGTGAGGCCGAGGACAAATTGCGGGTAGTTGGTTACCCGCTTCGCCAGAGGATATGTAGCGACTAATAGCAATGATGGTGTCGCATACCAGAAGCACTCGAAGGGAAGCGAGAGAAGGACACCTAATCCGGTGAGAAGCTGACCACCTGTAAAGACGATAGCAGCTTCTGGGCTGATGGCTTTCCTAGCGATGGGCCGTAGGCGCGTGCGCTCAACATGTGGATCGAGATTCCGGTCCCAAAGGTCATTTATCGTACATCCTGCACCGCGCATGACGAGTGCGCCGGTGAAGAACAGAGCGGTCGTGCCGGCGACTGCTGAGGGTGCTGCCATCGGAGCTGCCATGGTGGCAGCAATGAGTGTGCTAAAAAGACATGGGAAGAACAGATAGTAAGTTCCGGTAGGCTTGTCAAGTCGGATGAGTTCTGCATACGGAACAGCGGATGGAGGGAGGTAGGAAAGAAATCCAGTTGTCGGTGGCTTGTATTCTGGCCACACTCTGGGAGGTTCTTGAGACGTAGTTGCTAAGCTGGCGGACTGTATCCGGGATGAGGCTGGGCGTAATTTGTGCGAATTTGGAATGCTGATTCTGTGAAAGAGGTTTGTCGATGTGAGTTCAGGCTGTCCTCGTGTCTTCAACGAGGTATGTGAGACATTGTGCCGTGACCGGGTGCTGAATGCTGGGTAGACTGACGTCCAGTGTGCTCTCGAAGAGGTCCGTAGACTTCGCAAAGAATTTGGCGGGCTTTGCAGCCGAGATGATCGTAGCGACGCCATCATGTGACGGATTTTGGCGTTTGTATCAAGTGCTTCCTGCTGGCGAAACCGGCCCCGATCGGCCTTTCTTGGTGAAGTTCAGATGTCCAAATTCAGTCGGGAGAACAGCCTCAGATCTTTCGATCAAACGCCTCTCGGCCGGGTAGAAATGAGAGAGAAAGGCGGGTGAATGGCCAGGGGTGAGATGGACGGCTGGACGTCGCGTCGTCCGTGCGCGTTTTTCTCGCCTGATCACGTGCCCTTGCCCAAGCCGTGGTCGCAACGTCGCACGCACTTGCCTACGCACGCACTATCAATAAGGTCGCTTTGGTGCCAGCGTATACCTTCTGTCTCTCTTTCAATGCTCCCCCGCAGCGCCCCGGCGCTACCTCTACGCTGCGCATCTCGCGCGACCGACGAACGCGCTGCATGAGAATGTGCAAGACGCGTCGTAGCCCCGCACTCGGTCGCCGCCTGTGCATGCGCACCTATAACGCCCACCATGCCGGCCGCGAGACCGCGGGCGTCTTTTGAGCCTATACCCCCAGACTTCGACGTGCACACCTTTGTCGAAACGGCCGATAACCTTCAGTATGCGGACCGCATCTCTTATGAGATGATCGCCAAGAATGGTATGGAGCAGTTCGAGAAGCTTGTGCTGCTGCATGTCATAATTGGCGGGAAACCGCTTGTTATCGACGGTTTCGAGCAGGTGCTTGATCCATGGCCATTCACGCCGTCGTGGCTTCGAGGCAACATGGGCGATAAAGGTAGGCTCAACTTTACTGCAGGTATCACACGACAATGCTAACACTCACAGCTGAGAATGCGCGCAACCTCACCTCGAAGTCGAATATACCCCTTACGATCAAGCACTATCTCAAAAACATGAGTCGACTTACTGATCAGTTCTTCGATGACCCTGAGCGTTATCGCGACAACACACGGCAGCGTGTTTATTTGAAGGACATTGATTGCCCGGACGTTTGGCGAAACAAGGTGAAGGAACATATTCCACCAGGGCTTTTCTACTTAAACGAGAGCACTGGTGAAATAGGCGGGCCAGGAGCTCTCAACGAGCCTAGTGGTCGCCAAGGTCGAGGTATTGGCCGTGCAGGCGATCTGATGAGCAGCCTGCCATCAGAAATGCGCGCCGAGAACCTTATGTGCTACATTGGTCACGAAGGGACCTACACCCCCGCCCATCGAGAGATGTGCGCGTCTCTCGGCCAGAATATAATGGTACACGCATCTACGACAATTGGTGAAGACGGCAAACCCGAGCGACCGGGTTCTTCTTTGTGGTTTATGACGGAATCAAAAGATCGGCATCTCGTTTCTGAATACTGGCAGTCGACACTCGGACACGATATTGAAGTAGAGAATCACTTCGCACAGCTTATCGCGTGGAAAAAAGCACCTTTCAAGACGTACGTGGTGGAGCAGCGAACTGGCGATTTCATTCTGATTCCGCCCCTGGCCCCTCACCAGGTCTGGAATCGGGGCACTTGTACCATGAAAGTAGCCTGGAACCGAACAACCGTCGAAACCCTGGAACTGGCCATGAACGAAGCGCTACCAGCCTCTCGCATTGTATGTCGGGACGAACAGTACAAGAACAAGGCAATCGTGTACTTCACTCTCCTCAAATACTCGAACCTGATCAAGATTGCTCGGGCACAAAGCGAACTCGTAGGTGAACAAGAAGAGACCATTCGCCGCTCACTCAAGATACGGCACGTTCAACGAGATTTCAAGAGGTTGTTTGACCTCTATAAGAACATCTTGCTTTCGGAAATGTTTGCGCCTGAAGCGCAACATGGCCGTGAACATCCCGAGCTCTTACCTTTCGATGGCAACGTCACTTGCGCTTACTGTAGGTGCAACATCTTCAACCGATTTCTGACTTGCAAATCTTGCAAAAACTTTTACAGTGAAGAGATTGAGGAGCCGTACGATGTTTGCATGGACTGTTATTGTATGGGTAGAGGTTGCGGATGCCAGTCAGGGTATACTTGGGTTGAGCAGTGGAAGTGGAAAGATCTCATGCACAGGTACGAGGAATGGCGCTCCCAGATAGTCGAAATTGAAGGGCACATTACGGAGAAGACGCCACTGCCGCTACAAGAAGAGAGGCATTATTTCAGTAAGAAAACACTCGCTCAAGTATGTCAGGAGCAACTCAAGATCCGGCCTTTTGTGGATATAAAGAATCCTCATCGTGAAAACGGGGAATCGGAGGAAGACGAGCCACAGATTGACGCGAATGGCTACCCCAAACCTGCGAAGAAGAAGCCCAAGCAGTGGCTCAGTAAATACAAGTCATGCCATGTTTGTCTGCATCGACATCCCAAGTGGAAAATGGCTTTCTGCACCAATTGCGATTATGCCTACTGCTACGGCACCCTGTTCCGAGCCCACGACACGATGCCATTGGCTGTCATGGAAGACCCCGCCTGGAAATGTCCGCATTGTAATCGCATTTGCAACACGGGGAAATGTCGAAGCGATCCTCGACAAAATTCGTACGAACCCAAGGGGACCTTGTTAGGCCATGATACGAGAATGGTAGCGGATCCGCGATCAGTGGAATGCCTTGTAGACTTTAGCGTCTCGAACTTGAACTGGGTTCGTGAAGAGGACGTCGCCATGGAGAACCGACGCGCAGCCGCTGAGCGCGCAAAGTTGGCGAATCCAGAATTTGATGATCGTTACGTGGATCTTGACCACGACCCGAATCGCAATGGTATCGCCTACTCACCGGTGAACGAGAACGACGATATCGAAGGACATTTGAACGGAGCCAACGATAGCGGTTTAGCACGAGCCATGGACGATCCCTTCAACGAAAGTTCTGTCCATCCAGATCCCGACCCGAATGCAGAGATACCGCGTCTCGGAAAGCGCAACCGCGACGATGATGAAGACGTCAAAACAAGCCGCAAGAAAAAGAAAAAGAAGCAAAAGAAAAGCACTGATGACACATCGCAACGCCTTGAGCCGAAGAGCACTTCTGGCAAGCAGTATCAGAAGGAAGTACAGCGAAAGCTGCTTGATGAAGCTAGGCGAAAAGACCAATATGTCCTTGTGGCCGCTAGGATGCAAGGAAAGTCTAAGGTTGTGAAATTGCGATTTGACCCTGACCTTCTTGAGGCAATACGGAACAGACCAGTGCTCGAGCGTCCAGCACCAGAACAGGACCGCGAATCTACCGAGGAAGCAGAAAATACAACTGGGAACATCCTCCAGTCCGACATAATGGCAGTCAAGAAACCTGCAGTGACCCCTGCGCAAAAGGAGAAGGCGCAGAAGACATTTCGTGTTCGTGTTAATGATGATGAGACTTATTCTACGCGAAAACGTAACCCAGAGGCCCACTTGCCAGGCAAATCTGGTCGCCCTGGTCAACGAAAATCACGCTTCGAAGAAATCACCATCGATTCTGAAGAAGAGGATGCGGATTTCACGACTGGATACGGTGCGCTAGGAACTCGTCGAACGAGTGGTAGAGCGTCCAGCTGGCTCGCACGAAAGAACGAAGGCGAGGAAGACTTGCCTACTGAGCTGCCTGAAGACTTTAGGGATGGTTTGGTCAATCCGAATCGCGAGAAGAATATTGAGAGGAATCGGATCAGAAACCAGCAAATGGCTGAGCGACGCAAGTCGATGCCGTCAAAACCAACCGCCAAGGTTCGCCCACCTGGACCCGGTCGGCCACGCAAGAGCACAAGTGCGCTTCCGGACGAGACTGGGGCGAATGAGGATAAGGATGGTGTCGACGAAGACGACGACACTGGTGAGGCTCTACTACTCGCACAATCTACCACTACGGCTTTCGAAGCGCAACGTAAGGCAGAAGAAGAGAAGGCGCGCGCCGCTGCTGCTGAGAGGGAAGCTCAAGAGAACCTTCGTGCGAAGATGGGAATCGCCGACGAGTTCTTCGGCGGCTCAGACGGAGACTTCCTCACCGGATTCATCAACAACCTTGCCGCAGAAGATGAGCCTCTCGCCCACGAGCGCGCCCAGCCTTCGCCTGCCGCTACTGGACCGCCTCTGCAATCCACAAACTCCATTTTCTCCAAACCTGGGATGGTGAGCAAGAAGATCAAGATCGTATCCAAGTGCAGTGGCAGTGGGGCGGCCAAGACGACCACGACAATGACGGTCACAGCACCCCCGTCAAGCTTCACTGCCATCAATAAGAAACCGTCCAAAAGCATTAATGTTTCCGAGTCGGAGTCTGATAGTGAAGATGAGATACCGGCGAAAGCGCCTGCACCGAAGACGCCGGTTGGTAAGCCGCCAGGCCGGCCGTCGTTGGTTCCCACGAGGGCTACTATCTCTGGGCGCGGACGGGGACGGCCGCGAGGTAGGCCGCGCAAGTCGGGCTGAGAGCGTTGTGCGGTAGACGTATGTGTTGAGTGCGCGTCTTGCAGTGTGGTCGAAGACCTCGACGCGATGTTCGTACTGGAGATTTAATGAGACGAAACTTGGTCACGGAGATACCCTGTGTGCGAATTGAGCTTCGACAATGACCTGCTGCCTTGAACGAGAAAGTACAAGAATACCTTGTGCTTGCCATAAGTTAGGTCGCATGCTGAATAAGGATGTACGAAACTATTACCAATCATTTGCAGTATCCGTCCGTCCCCACCGTAAGCGTCATATCTGGTGTTTGCGAAGACGGGATGCGCCGGGCTTGTAACGAGAGTCACTACCGGCTCCAAGCGGTTGGTATAGAAGAGTCACTGCGTCAGTCTGTAACATGCAGTAGGCTGCAATCCCTTATGAAATTATCTACACGTGCCATTCGACATGTTTGTGGAGACGCTGTTGATTTGATAGGATTCTAGCAGGCTACAGTGGCGCAAAGGACATATAATCTGGTGACCGGACTTGAATCCACCAAATCGTTTTGACGTTCATGGCTAGGCAATGAATATCAGATGGGGTGATGGATATAGTAACATAGTTAGAGGCCGGGAGCTAGAGAGTTAACGACTACCGAATAGCTAGAACAGTCCCTCAAGTGCTAGGATCAATTCCGACAGCCGCGAGTGTCCGTCGTTCGTCCTACGACAAATTCCCGCCGATGGGTTCTTTTGCTGCGCCATGCAGCTGGATCAAATACTCAAGTATCTTGGGCACGCTTCCTGGTGTCTGTGGGAGCCGCAAACAGCCATGTGAATGTGGCGCAGGCGGAGTCGACTACTTCACCGCCAAGAAAGTCTCCGAATACGGGCGGAACGATAATACCTTCCAAGCAGACAAAGATAGTGAAAACTGGAAACTTCCCTGTATGCAGGTCAGTATCGCACGCCGTTCCGACGCGGCAGCTTGGCAGTGGGGCAGGAGACTCTCCCCATCCATGGCCCACGTCACTTCTACCCACCTCACGCGACAGTGTCTCGAGACTCTCCCCAGGTTTCGCCGTTGGGGGGCGATGCCACCGGTGACGTGATGTTCCACCCTCTAAGACCTCCGCTCCGCTGGCGCCAAGTTGCTCCGCCCTCCACTAAAACCCCGCTAATGCACGCTCCCAAGCCACTTGGAATGCTGGAAGAGTCCGCCATGAGATCTAGATCATGGTGAACAGTTCTTGGTCGTGCCACCAAAATCGGTGCTAAGGTACTAGCCTGCGTTGGCCGATGTCATGTGCTTGGGACCTATACACCGGATTACACGCAATGCGCGCATGGGCCAAGGATGCTCCGCCACGCGAAAGAGCGGAGGATGGGAGGGAAGGGTACTTAAGTAGCTCGAATCCTGCACATGGCTTCTATCATCATACAACATCCATCAACAACTATCGCACTACCTCAAGTCAAACTACCACATCTACCAAACTTCTACAATTACAACTCAATCGACTCGAACTACCATAGACGCTTGAGCAAACGACAACCGTCAACTACACCATCAACGACCTCACACACACGACCATGGGTTGCAACATCTTTTCCAAGAAGTCAGGCGTCGCCGGTATCCCCTGGGGAGAAGCCCCCCGCAAAGTTAGCACTACACAAACCGGCCGCACAAGCGCCAGCGCAAGCCGCGGACGCACATCCATGAGCGTACCGAACCGCGACACACGAAGCAGATCCAGGCCTGCATCAATGGACGTCATTGGCAACCGAGGCGCCAGCGTCGGCGGCGCTGTGTACTAAGTGTGTGATGCAAGATGGTCTACTTTGAGACGAACGCCGAGGCCATAATTTGCATTTTGGCATTATTTACGATATCATGACAAAGGGTTTTGGGATAGACGATACAGTTGCATAGTTTACGGCTGATTGGGCTTTCTGGCAGGAGTTGCGTCAACGAGAGCGGATAGTCATTTTTACATGGCTTGATTGGATAACATTGTTGCGCAATGATATAATATCACCCGACAAAATCGCTTTTGACCTCCTGATGGTTTAGTGATTCTGCCATTGTGACGAAATGTGGTGTGAGGATGTTGCCAGGTCCCTCAAATTTTTCTTTACGTCATTGAAACTGATGTACAGCCTCACTTGAGGGCTCTAGTGACATGCACGTCGTATCAATAAGTTGTATGACGGGTGACTTGTGAAGAGATGCTCAAGACGAACGCCAACAGATAGAATTAGTCGTGCCCAGCTGAACCACCGACAATGTGCATACTTTTGCCCTTGCATTACCGATCCATCTCAGACGTGATGAAAAAACCGTAGACCATTCGAATCGACGGGGCTTCAATCTCGTTTGATTCTGCCATCATAGTTTCGGATTGTGCAGTTCTCTTGACTTGTCTCCTCGAGTAGGCTATGACCTGGATGTTGTTGAGTCGCTGCGGCTTAAAAATGCCTCATCTCGATCTGGACGGAGACGGCGTGGCGGCGATAAGTTCATCACTTAGGCTGGTCAATCCGCTTGTGTGGGGGCCAGATCTAGGCGCGTTACACTTGAAGCAGTGGTCGCGTGCTCGGCAGTTGCGGGGTCGGACGGGTGTCACATCGACGGAAGACTTGCTTACTTGCATGTGCGATGCAAATCTCTATCGAATATGCGTTGATGCGACAGTGTCTTCAGGAAGACAGGGTACCCTTCGCTGCAACTGGATCCAGAATCCATGTACTTGCGATCTGTTCCACATAGATGTACCTATGGTGCATTGCACAACTGATAGGTGATCTCTTATCCGGTTGCAGCGTACAGACCATTTGGCTTACCTCTATGCCATCAGCTTCATTGCAGACACTTAGCCTTACGGCTTTGCATGTTCCGGACTTGTTCGGCTATGGCAAGATGTGTTTTCACCTGTAGGGTCAGAATCAGCCCTCATCCAGAGACTTCCAATAGAGTGGCGGGTACATGAGGCTGGTTGGCTGAAACTCTGCAGCACGAACTTACCGAATTGCAGTTAGCCCAGCTGTACCCCAAGGTAACATCGGAACCTTTCGTACGTGTTGAAGTCGGATTCACGACGATCACAACATTCGCGACACCCGAATGGTTTTCTGGCCACTACAATAGTCAACACACCTTCCAGAATCGACTTGCCCACAGGAAAAATGTATCGATTGCGGGGCAAGCTTACTAGCATGTGATGCGGCGTGGTTGCCCATGACTTGCATACCTGCAGTCATCATTATTATGCGAGGCAAGCTTCCGATGCTATAAAGTCTGTCTTGGTAGATCTTCAGTTAAATCAATTTAGAACTCGAAACCAAACCCCTGTCGACATGCTCACGCAAGCTTTTGTCAATCTACTTCCTTTAGCAGGGATCATCGCCACCAGCAATGGCGCAGCCATATCCCGCGACATGGGCACGATTAATCTAGTAGCTACCTACGATGTTTTACAGCAGTGGTATAATCACTCAAATGGTCTGTGGATACCAAGTACTGGGTGGTGGAATAGCGCCAATTGTATGCCCTGGCTAGACCATGATTCATGTAGAGAGTACTTAGGACAAGACAGGTCTCACTGTGGTTGCTGGTGTGGCAAGCGTAGACAACAACATGAAAGAACAGATCGAAGATGTAATTTCGGAGACTTTCGTCAAAGCGCCTCATTACAGCCCAGAGATGGCGAAAGTGATGGGGATGGAGGATGAGCGATATCTGATACAAACATATTACGGTGACCGGTGGCCTTATCCTCCTCCAGCATATCTGCAGCATCACGGTCGACCGCACCGGAAGACCTTAAAAAATTTCTTGAACGAGTAAGTCAAGAATCAGAAGACGTGGAAGCCATTACTGACCCAGATTCAGTTACTATGAGTATGTATCGAAATCGACTTCAGACATAAAATTGATAAAGTACCAGTGACGAAGGATGGTGGGCTCTTGGTTGGATAGCTGCATATGACCTGACGCACGACTACCGTTACCTCAGACAAGCAAGGATAATTTTCGAAGACATGTATTCTGCCTTCGGAAAAACTAACTGCAGTAAAAATAGCGGAGGCGTTGGCGGAATATGGTGGGACAAAAATCACACGTACGTAAACGCCATCGCCAACGAGCTCTTTTTCAGCACCGCAGCCTCCCTCGCCAATCGCGCAAGGCGACCATACGGGGGCCCAACGTACTTGGACATCGCAAAGCAGCAATTATCCTGGTTCCGAGGGACTGGTATGATTGCCAGCAACTTCACAATTAACGACGGTCTGCTACAACAGACTTGTGAAAACAACGGAGGCACGATTTGGACATACAACCAAGGTGTCATTCTCGGTGGCCTTGTGGAGCTCAACAAAGCAACACGCAACAGGTTCTACATTGACCTGGCCCACAACATTGCCACTGCAGCCATCGCCACCCGTGCCAAGCAGGGCATTTTGGAAGATCCATGCGAGCCTAATTGTGGCGCAGATGGCTCGCAGTTCAAAGGCATCTTCGTGAGGAACTTGCTTGTCCTGTACAAAGCAAGCCCAAGGGATGCTTATAGAGACTTATTCAAGCGAAATGCGGAAAGTATCTGGGAAAATGATCGGAACGAGAAAAACGAGTTATCGGTCAGTTGGACCGGGCCCTTCATACGTCCTGCAAACGCGTCAACACAGAGCTCTGCGATGGATAGCTTGATCGCGGCGGTAGCGGTACAGGGGAGTTAATAGACTGCTGTAGACTCCCTCTTTGTTTACAGCTCAAGGCCGACCATTAGACTATGATCTTCTTTTTCTCAACTGATGGGCTCTGGATCCTCGGTTTTTCTTTGTTTTTTGGGAGAGCTCCATTGGGGGTGGAGGCGGAGGCGGCTCGGACACCGGCCACATGCGCATGATAACAGCCCAGCCAGACTGTATTATAGACTTCCAAACTTGTGGTAGTATGATCTCACCATCAGGGTCGACTAAGTCATAATGTCTCTCGTGTACATGTGGTCCGATTATTTCGACATGTAGGAAAGCTTGCTTGATCAATTCTTCCATGACATTCTAGGTCCTACAAAGGTGCCATAGAAACGAGAAATCTCGACCCACGGCATCTTTGAACTTGATGGGAGGCTTCGGTTTGACGGAAGGTCTGAGCTTACAGGCTTCTTCTGCAACTGCTTTTTTCGCTATTTAAGCTCGACTAGAGCGGCTTTTACATGTCTGGCTACTCTGTAGCAACAAATCAATCCCATCTGCTTCAAATAACTCGAGAGTGCTCTTGTTGTATATGTTTGATGTATTTATCACGGCCAGAGGACTTCCTGCCATCTGTAAAGCTACGGTCTGAGCATACACTGCACTTGAAGTCCATGCGACGGTGTTGCATTTCGTGCATGGACCACTCGTTGGTGTTGCCAAACAATGGAGCATCGCACTCGCGACAGGTGCGAACATACAATTGAAGATCCTCGAAGACATGGCGCCGCCAGAGCTTGTTATTCCTGAACCTCTTGACACGAAGGCAAAACGAATATTCGATGTCTTTTCTAGAGCCGATGTGGAAGTCCTCGAGCTTCGGTACTTTTAGGGTCACTGCTGATTCTAGAACTCTGTCCAGAGAACGAGCTACGGTAGTGTACGATCTGGAATCGTCCTCTGGGTCTGAATCTATATTCGTACTGAGCATAGAATGTGTGATCTGTCTAGGGTTAATTGTGGAAGCTTTTGTATGATAAGTCGACGGCTGGCTAGCTGTCTCCGCCAACAGCTTCGTCGGATGCTATTGTTCCAACACGTGAGATTGAGTCACGTACGCCTCAGAGTATTCGTACCGTGTTGGATCACCTTCTAGCTTATCACGATGGTCCTGGACATAGCTAAGGTAATGGCGACGCAGAGTGATGACACGTCCTAACCGTATTTGAAGCCACTGGCTATCTTCTATGACCAGTTTTGAGAATTGCTCTCCAACATGAGCAATATCGAATTGATCGTTGAAACGGTAACGGTTTCAAGGGAGCGCCTTGTCCAAAGCACTGTTCGGGGCTGCTGCTGGAAGCGGGGGGACATTGCCACATGTGCACCTGCTAGAATTCAGCCGAATGCTCAGCTGGTCAACTACGTTCCACATCTCTCTTCATTGATGCATATGTAGGCGCTGTTGAAAGCGTCGTATGTACTCAAATGAGCGGTCTCGAGGTCGCTGGTGTGTTCCTTGGAGCCTTTCCTCTTCTCATCTCCAGCATCGAACACTGGCAAAACGTGGCAAAGGTCGGCGGGTACTTTTGGTGCGTCCGCAAGGAGTTCACTAAATATCGACGCGATGTGAACTATCATTAAATAATTTACAAGCGAAATTTGAGGGCTTTGCTGGCAACCGTCGTGACAGAAGCTGAGGATGTGGTGAGTTCAATTGTATCCTACGACGCAGCTTCTACGGCTACTGATTGTTAGTGGATTTCCACAAAAACAATTGATGGACGATCCAGATGGCGATAGCTGGAAAAACAGTGATCTGCAAGGACGATTAAAGTTGCGCCTACAGGAGTCCTTCAAAACGTACATGGAGATTGTCGCCCAGATGCAGGAGACTGCGGAAGAATTAAAGAACGAGCTGTGTTTTCAACCCAAAGTCATTCAGGGTAAGCTTACTCCTTCCTACGGAACAAATGAGCGCTCTCCCTCGCCCGGCAAGCTGGATAGGACAGTGGTGACCAAGGCTACGTTTGACTATCAAATGTTTCGAGTCAAATTCAGCTTGAGAGACACGATACGAGAGGGGCTTTTTGCGCAGCTCCAAGAATGCAACGAACGACTGGAAAAGCTGCTCGTTACTAGCAGTCAGATTCCTGACAAACAAAATTCTCAGCCTGCTAGCTTTAAACAGATCTCCACGATCGAGACTGCCCTGAGCGTAGCACATAAATAATCAGCAGCGTTCTCAAGGCGATTGAACGGGCATGGAATTGCGCTTGCTTGAAGGCTTGCACCTTGCATTCTGTTAACGGTATCTCGTCAACCCGGCAGCGGTCAGCGGCAAGTAATCGGCATACTGTTCCTGTGAGTTGAGACCGCATATACACGATAGTTTAATTCTTGTCCTTAGTAAATACCTTATCCTAAGATTATGAAGGTCATGTCTGCAACTGGGGGGAGACTCAAGTAAGTATGCCTTGCAAATAACGTCATATTGACTACTCCCGCAATTGTGATAGAACCTGATTTCGATTCATCCGTTCAACTTTGCCGGCATGTCGGGGATTCCGAATGTATGAACTGCATGGGTGTAAATAACCCATGGTCTGTCATAACATGGCCATACTGAAAACAGTCTGATATTGCAGGTGATCGAGCACGACGACGAAATGTACCATCTTCATCCACTCACCGCAAGAAGAGAGCGCAATCCAAAGGCATCACTTAATCCAGATCAAATATTATCCCCAGACCATCTTGAAAAGCTGTCGAGACGCCAGAAATATGCGACAGCCCTTGCAATCGCTTCATCCGTTGCACATCTCCAGTCAACCCCATGGCTACGAGCAGAGTTGAGCAGGGATGATATGCTCTTCTTCCCGAACGCCGAAGATGGCAATCTTAACTACGATGAACCTTTGATCCAACAAGGCTTCTCTTTGAGCGACGATGCCTACGCTGACGTAGTTGGAAGAAGCTTGTGTTCCGGAAGGAGACTCGAGGACGAAGCATTGCGAAAAAAGCAGTCCATTGGCGATGATGCAGCAACAAAGCAGGTTTTCGATCTGATGGTTGATCTCCAGTGGTAAGAAATCCATTTCTAAGGTTGCCTGGTGCTAATCATCCAGGGCACGAGTCCAGGCCGTGACTTGAGCAAAGGCTGGCGAACAGACCTCATCAAGAATGTGATCAATCCATTGGAGGAGTGTCAACGCCAGTTCAAGGCTATCGCGGCGATCTAGTTGGCAATCCTCTCTTGTATGCCATGCATTGGGTAGAACGTCTACTTCTTGTAGGTAGGCCCTCATTGTCAAAACGGGGAGCTGGGAGCAGTCTTCAGTTCTTCGTGCATGATACATGAACACGAATGTTATTTCCAAATACCTTTTCGTTAATATCTCGGCCTGGCACAGACTCGGCATGAGATGTGTTGTAGTAGAAATGCACGTGCACACTGAGGACCAATGACGTCGTAGACTCGATTATATAATACAAGCTAATCGATAAGAAAGCGCGATCGCGTCTCGCGTCGACAAACCGCGACTGCACCTTCCCTCCCAACCAATTCACTACATTATCGTCTCGCCCACTGACCATATACTCTCATACCCTTATCGCGGCTACACATCACCACTATGCTCGCCACCAGCACCTTCTACCCACAACATCACTACATGCCACCGCGGCCCTCGCCACTATCTGAGCGCTCCGCCAATGCGGCTCCGCGGCCGTTCCATTTCAGCATGCCTGACCCAGCGCAGAGCGCACAGAAACTCACGGCGCCGCATCGGTCCTACAAGCCGAATCCGATCATCCAGACGCGTGATACCGCGACGAAGCGGAGACGCGACATGTTTTTTAAGCGAGTGCAAAAAGGCCGGGACGACAAGAAGTGGGATTCGAGGGGCGAGCAAGTACGCGTCAAAATGCGAGATCAGGTGTGCATTTGCTAATTACGACCAGATTCAACGTCTAGACCACATCTCCGAGCAGAAGCGCTGGGAGGCTGAGAAAGCGCGTCAGGCGCCGCAAATCCACGACGACAGAATCGAGGAGGAGATGGAGGAGCTTGCATCGTTGCCGGCGCAGGAGATGGATGAAGCGGACTACGTGCTCGCGCAGGAGGAGCGCGAGATGCAGGAGTTGATCGCGTCGATGGAGGAGCAAGACGCGTCGCAACACTATGGCAGCGATGACGAGGACTATGATCTGCTATTTATAGAATACACGGACGTGTCGGCTTTGCAACAGCATCATCAGCAGCGGCAGGAACCTCGTCAAGATGCGAGCGCAGGGTTCGAGAACTTCCCCGACGCAGATGCGATGGACATGAGTTGAGAGGGATGATTGCGGGAGCTCTCAGTGTCATGCTGGAAAGGGCTGTCACCAATAGTCATTCACGGCATGGTTTTTTCTTTCTTTCTTTGCACAGTAATGGCCAGGGAAGGTTCGGCGCATGTACATTTGATGGGTATCAAGAAGGGCAGACTATGAACTTCTACTGTGTCGGGCAGCCTTGGTCCAAGTCCGCCATGGCTTCTTGCGCCGCGTTCATGTCGCCGACAAGATCGGGCGGCGGAGTGCCAGCGTCTTGCATCTGCCGGGTGTGAGCAAATCAACGATGTTACTGCATACGATCCGCTTACCTTCGTCATCCTCTCGACAATGTACGCTCGGTCCTGCGCGCTCTCATCCGAGTAGCCGCTGCTCTCAAACTTGTCTACAATCTCTTTCACCAGCCGTGCTTGCTCCTCGTACCGCTTCCAGTCGGCTGAATCTATCTTGCCGTCCTTGTTCGCCTCCATCCACGCCGGAAACTTATCATTCAACTCCTTCATCGGCTCATACATAATCTCCTTATTCGTCAACTGCTCCATCATGCCCTGCAGTATCTTGCTGAAATCCTCCTCGTTCCCTTCACCGCCGCCGAAGTTGCCAGACTCCATCTCCTTCAGCATCTGCGCAAGGATATCATCGTCCGACGATGCAGCCGCCGCGGCGCCGGCGGCATCTCCGGACTCCCGCATGCGATCCATGGTCTTGCGTATCGACTCCTGGAACGACTGCTCGCCTTTGGTCGCAGCCTCACCCTCGGCCTTGCCGGAGCTTACGCCAGGTGCTGCCGTGCCCGATGCTCCTCCAAGAGCAGCCAAAGGATCCTCGCCCACCGCCTGGCCCATCTCCTTCATCAGGTCCTGGAACTCTTTGGGAAAGCCTTCCTGCCCGAGCAGCGCCTCCATCTGCTTTTGCAGCTCCTTCTCGAACTCATTTTGATCTTCCACCAAGGTCTCGGCGGGGTCGAGCGCAGGGGGTTCTGGCCTGCCGGGACCGGAGGATGCTGGCGCTGCAGAGGGAACCTTAGAGTCACTTTTGATGTTCACGTTTGAGAACTCGTCTAGGACATCTGCAGTTTTCGTTAGAAACCGGCATGCTGGTTGGTGTCATGCGACTAACCGTCGAGGTCTGAGAGGTCGTCTTCCTCGGGATCAGATGCGATATCGTCCTTCACTTGTTGCGCGGCCTTGGGCGCGTCTTCTACCTTTACCGCGTCGCTCTTGGTCTCTGGAGCATCCGCCATGTTAAGTTGCGCGTATACGAATTAACAATAGTGAGAGAATCTGGGGAACTGTAATGCCTAATAAACTTGCTGGAAAGCCGCATGCACGGCTCCGCGCCAGACCTCGGCCGTCTGCGGGGCTCTGTTTAGTGGGGCAGGCGGCAGGGCACAGCGATCGTTCTAGCCACTTTTGTGGCGCGAAACCACACGTCACGTGCGGGTCGACGACAGCTTCACTCCGACTTCATTGCGTGTTTCGCCTTCTCTCACCTTCACGACGCTCGCTGTCTGATAGACCTCACCTCCGCCGCGCGCCCGCCACTTTTCTCCATCCAAATACTCTCGCCACCCGGAACGTTGCGCGAGCGCGATCCGCATCCAGACACCCGCTCCACGGAAAGTTTTGTGCTGCGCGCAGCCTCGCAAACATGTCGCTGTGCATGAATCGGCTCTCGGAAGAGAGGTAGGCAGCGCCGCAAACAGAAGCGAGGACACACAGCTCACACCGCACAGGAAGCAGTGGCGGCGCGACCATCCGTTCGGCTTCTTCGCAAAACCCGCGCGCAACTCCGCAGGCATGATGGACCTCAAGAAGTGGGAAGTTGGCGTTCCCGGCAAGGAGAAGACGATCTGGGAGGGCGGCCTGTTCAAGCTCGAAGTCACATTTCCCGAAGGCACGCTCCCTCCCACAATCTCCCCCAACCAAGACTAACATGTGAGGAAACAGAGTACCCCACGAAGCCCCCGAAGTGCAAGTTCACGCCGCCCCTCTTCCACCCCAACGTCTATCCCTCAGGCACCGTTTGCCTCTCCATCCTCAACGAAGAAGAGGCCTGGAAACCGGCCATCACCATCAAGGATATCCTGCTCGGCATCCAGTCGCTGCTCGACGAGCCGAACCCCGAGTCCCCCGCGCAGGCCGACGCGTTCAATCTCTTCAAGAAGGACAAGGTCGCGTACGAGAAGAAGATCAAGGCGATTGTCAAGGAGAATCCCGCGCCGTAGCGCCGTAGCCTTGGGTGCGCGAGCGATGGAGGGGGAGGCGGCGCTTCGGCGTTCGCAATGGACGGAGCGGAGGATGAGCTCCTAGGAAAATCTGCTTTCTGGCGAAGGAGGAGGGTTTGGCTGTTGGCTGACGGTTCTTCTTCTATTTTCTTGGCACGATTTACATAACGATACGGACTAATGGCACGGCGCCAGAAGACGGGGTTTGGCGTTCAACGGCGGCGACATAGCAGTGGTGCCGCAGGGGGTTTCCCTCTGCTGGCCACCTGACGAAGGATGGACTGATACCACTCTGCGCGTGATAGCACGGCCTCTATTCCACAATGCAACACTTCAACGACTTAGCACACTGGAAAACGTATGTGTGCGAGCAGTGCTAAGAAGCCGCCGCGCGGAAATTAATCAATACCAGTGGTTGTACGTACACGAACTCAAACACGCCTGCCTCTAAATCCTCGCTGTCTCCAATCGAAGCCAAATGGCCGCCCTCCCTTCGAAGAACAATGTCTTCCTTCCACCCCACGCCACATGCCGAGGCAACAACACCTAGAAATAGGGTTTTCGCTGATCCGATATAATACATGCCCAGTCCATAACCATTGCAAGAGTTCGAACATCAGCTCCGTGACGTTGCAATCAGCCCGCCCACTCGCCCGCCCATACACCCCGTTCCGGTCGATAAAGATACATGTGCTGTCCACACAGCGTGGTCACCTAGTTGGAGGGACGGTAAGTCTGTGTCCTCACCTAGTAGGGACGGTATCCCTGTGCCCGGGGGCGGTAGCCGCCTCGGTAGCCGCCGCCGCGGGGGGCACCGTAGCCACCGCCTCCTCCGCCACGCCCCCCATAGGGAGAGCCGCGACCACCGTAGCCTCCTCCTCCGCGGCCTCCACCGCCACCACGGCCGCCACCACGGCCCCTGGACATGCCGGGGAGGTTGGTGCGCTTTGGTACGACCTGGGTGGTGATCAGTTGTGTTCGGGCTGCGGGGATCGCGATTGACATGCCTTGAGGTTGCGGCCGCGGAACATGCTGTCGTTTAGCACGAGCGCCTGCTCGACGAGATTGGGTTCGGTGAACTCCACATACGCATACCTGCATACGCTCATTAGCGTTTGTCCGAATCTTTCTGCCAAACTCTTGCCAGGTAGCGAAAGAACCCCAGCGATGCATAATATCAGTAGGTGATGGGTGGGTTAAGCTTTAGTGAAACATGTGTGTGCGATGGCACGTCTTGTGCGACCTTTTCCGCGTCTGACTGTGCCTTTACGTGCACGCACCGGTCGAACGAGTAATCAAGGAAAAACCACCTCTTGGTATGGGAAGACTGACCCTTTGGGATGCCCGGTGAATTTGTCCAGGAGAATGGTGACGCGATTTATGCTGCCGCACTCTTGGAAGTGCGCCTGTATCTCCTCGGGCGATGCGCCGTAGTCCACGTTGCCGACGAAGACGCTTCGCGCGTCGACGTCTTCCCTGTTCTCGCGCAGGTCGTGGCGTTCCATGTCGGAGCTTTGCTGCATCTGGCGCAGCTTTGCGGCTTCTTCCTCCATCTCGAGCACTCGGCGCTTCATCGCGTCGATTTCCTGGGCGGTTGTGTTAGCTTGTGTCACTGAAGAGAGATGTCGCAGTCGCAGTTCACAAGCGTTTGATAGACAGTGGAAGCTGTCATCCTTCTGCGAGCGATGCGCCTGTCAGGGCTCCGTACCTCGTCGTTCTGTTCACCCTCGGGCGCTCTGTCGTCGGTGCGGTCGTCGATACGGTCGTCGATGCGGTCGTCGATGCGGTCTTCCAGACGGTCGTCATCGTAGCGACGATCGTCCTGCTCGCGGTCTAAATCGTGGTCGCGGTCGGACATGGCTGCAAACGAAAGTGAAGGTGCTTGCGGCGGAGTCAGAAGTGAAGGTTGCAATGGGCAGTTGGCGCGACTTACAAGGCTGGTCGGTTGGGGCTAATGATAGATCTGGGCGATGCAACTCGCAGTTGGTTTGATGACACGCGCCAAACTTAGTCGCGTCGCGATACGCAGTCTTGGATTCCAAGTTGATATGTCGCTGCAACGGAATGGGTTTCTGTACAAGGTGAAGAGGCTCACATAAAGTAGATGATGCAAGCTTCCCTGGGCCGTGCAGCGGTTATGTAAGCCTAGCTCCACAAAGCCAGGCACCGTGAGGCTACACCAGCACCAAACTACCGCACGCCCAACGGTTTGCAAGTTGAGCGCGACCCCGTGGACTTCGTTGTTTGTATCTATGCATGATGATGTCCATTTTCTGATGCTGGTACCAAACCTCGAAAATATCCTTCACAGATACGCTCTGTTTGAACTCGACCATGTCTTCCTCTCCTTTGCTGCGCACACACGAGTCGCCGCACGAGCCCAATGATGAATCAGACAAACCAACGTCAAGCCTCCGTGACAAACTCGTTCGCTTTTTTTCTACTAGAACATTCCACTATTCAGTCTTGCTGCTTGTGGCTCTTGATGTCGGTTGCATGTTTGCCGGTACGCAAATCCAAGCGTTGAAGCATCGCTGAAGTCAACAAGCTCACCATGCATCGTAGACATCGTGATCAACCTTGAGACATGTGACCGCAAAACCCCCAAGGCAGACACTGCTCTTGAGGCACTCAAACATGTCAGCCTGGTTTTCTCCGCGCTCTTTATGCTCGAGTTGCTTTCTTCAATATGGGCATTTAGGACAGCGTGAGTCGACCAGCCACTGATTCCGCTTCCGCCCATGCTGACCAGCATATGCGCAGGTATTTCAAGTCCAAATTTCACGTATTTGACGCCGCGATTATCGTGGTATCTTTCGTCTTTGAAATCAGTTTGCAAGGGGTGGAGGAGGAAGTGGCATCACTCATCGTCATTCTGCGTTTGCTGCGCGTCGTGAAGATCGTCGACGAGATTAGCGTCGGCGCAGAGGCCCAGATGTCTGATCTAGAGCAACGGCTCGAGCTTCTTGAAAAGGAGAACTGCAACCTAAGGGAAGAGCTTCGTCGTAGAAGGCCTGCAGCCTGAGGCTTTGCCTCGCGACGAAAGATAGGGTCAGGGCGTCGAATCACGAGTCGCATGGACCTAAATCCTGGCCCGACTGGTCAGCCAATATACAGGAAGCGTATGTAAATCCAACTACATAAATGCAGCATGTTCAGAAGATTTGAGTCTTGAAAGTTGTACAGCACGTCGTTGAGCAGAGGCTTCTTTTGGAACCATAGGCGCGATTTGACCTTTTACCAGGAAAAGCATCATGAAGCCAGGGGATTGAGTATAGAACAAGTATAACGTACCGTTCAGGTGTTCAGCCAGGCCGTCCTCTTGAAGACAGTAGATGCTGCCGTACAATACTGTGTTGAAGGCAATGTAATACACCGCAGAGAACGCCTTAGCCTATCGAACTTCCGGAACGCGCGACGTGTCGAGGCCGTCGAATTATTCGCGGATGCCACGACAATACGCCTGTGACGATAGTGGGCGAAAGAAGACGCGATAGTCACGCGTGTGCGGGTGACGGCTGCGGGAGCTTGGAGCTTGCCCCGCGTGGCCCAAAATAGAAAGTGCAGAGCGTGGCCACATGGAGACAGGCGCCAGCGCGCTCAAGAATAGTCCGCAACAACATTTTCGGCCTCGTGTACGTGCAGCCTCTACTTTGCTACCGAAGCCATGGACTTTCTCAAGTCTGCCGTGGCGTCGGCCATTTCCAAGGGGCCTGCGTTCGGGTACACCTTTGGCGACCGCGTGGACATCGACGAGTCTATCTGGACCTTGTACAACGGCACAAAGCGAGTACGGCCCAGGCTGTCTTACACGACTAAGCTTGCGACTAACGATGTTATCTAGGAAGACGGATCGAAATGCAGTATATTCTCTTTCGACGTGTCCGCGAACAAGTCTCGATTGCCCCTCGCCCGGAATGCGCTCCGCAAGCTACGCACCCTGCGCCACCCCGGCGTCGTGAAGGTCCTGGACACAGTAGAGGTAGGAGTGCCACGGAGAGTACTAGGGAATTGAGGCTAAGTCTGTGCAGACAGACGCATACATCTACATTGCAACCGAAAGATTGAGCCCGCTCAGCTGGCACGTCAAGCGCAAGAGCCTCACCGAAGAGACGATAAAGTGGGGGTTGCACAACGTCGCAAAAACACTCAAGTTCGTCAACACTGAGGCCACTTCAATCCATGGCTGCATACGGCCGGCGTCGATATTCTTCAGCGAGAGTGGCGAGTGGAAGCTAGGAGGGTTCGACGCCCTGAGCTCAGTGAAAGAGGATGATTCAGTACTACCTGCCTATGGAAGTCTTATCCCGGACGCGCACCGATATATGGCTCCGGAGGTATCAAAAGGAGGCTGGGAAGTCATAAAGCAGAACCCTACGCATGCGGTCGATTCATACAATTTTGGGACTCTCATCTTTGAGGTGTTCAATGGCAGCTACCAAGGAAGTGATCAGCTCGGGCAGATGAAGAGCATACCCCCGACCATGCAACAGGCTTATAAGCGCTTGTTGAACCCCAATCCAAAATCGCGGATGAGTGTTGGTCAATTCCTCGACCAAGGAAAGCGGATAGGCGGCTTTTTCCAGACACCCTTGATACAAGTTACCGAAGACATTGAAAGTATAGGTCTCAAGTCAGAGGACGAGAGAAATGAGGTCCTTGGGTCCGTACGCCACAGTCTCGAATGCATACATGTACTAACACAACTACAGCAAGCTTGATGCGGTCGCCGATGACTTTCCCGCCGACTTCTTTAAGATGAAGGTCCTGCCGGAACTTTTAAAGTCTGTCGAGTTCGGCGGAGGCGGGGCAAAGGTATTCGGCACCGTCATGCAGATCGGTGCTAAGCTTTCCGACGAAGAGTACGAAACGCAAATCACGCCAGTTGTTGTGCGGTTGTTCGCGAACCCTGACCGCGCTATCCGTGTCTGCTTACTGAACAACCTTCCTTTAATGATCGATCATCTGCCGCAAAAGATCGTCAACAATCAAATCTTCCCGCAACTGGTTCGTCATGCCTTCGCGATCCTGTTCATCAGCGCTAACACTGTTAGGTCACCGGCTTTACTGACGTTGCGCCTGTTGTACGAGAAGAAACTGTCAAGTCCGTTTTAGTTATCGTGCCAAAGCTTTCCGATCGTGTAGTGAATGGAGAACTATTGAGACACCTTGCCAAAACTGCGAATGATGAGCAGGCTGGTATCCGCACAAACACAACCATCTGTCTAGGAAAGATCGCGCGGAATCTTGGAGCAAATGTACATTGTAGCCGCCATAGCTTTTCTTCCATGAGCTAACAACTGTATAGAACCGAGCCAAGGTTCTCTCAGCTGCGTTCGCACGCTCACTCCGAGATCCCTTCATCCACGCTCGCAACGCTGCGTTGATGGCGCTTTCCGCAACAGCCGACCTATTCAGCGAAGACGATTGCGCCTCGAAACTACTTCCCGTCATGTGCCCATCGCTCGTCGATAAAGAGAAGATGATCCGCGACCAAGCACAGAAAACAGTGGACATATACATAGCCCGCATTAAAAAGTATACCGCCACAATGCCTGACACAGTCCTTCCATCTACTTCAATCGCCTCTGCGAGCGGAGGAAATGCCGCTCCCCGCATGGGGACTCCCGCGAATGACAGCACCTGGACTGGATGGGCTATATCATCGTTTACAAATAAACTCACAGCAGCGAGCGGCCAAATGCAAGCCGGAGCCGCGAGCAACGGCAGTTCCGATCAGCGTTCGCAATCTGTGCCTCCACCAGCGGTTCCTACCGCAAGCAAACCCTCTCTTGCGCCCTCATCGCGGCCGGGCATGACGCTCACCAAATCCGCCGCGGAGATCCCAACGATATCGAGTCCAGGCCCCGTCGATGCATTTCACGATGCGGAAGAGGACTTTGACGGTGATTGGGGCGCTTTCGGAGATGACGATGCGTTTGGCGGCGGCAGCAACAGCAGCACGGGTAAAAAACAGGACGAGGATGACCCGTGGGGCACACCAAATGTGTCCTCCGCGCCAGCAACGACGAATTTCGACGACAAAGGCGAGCCTGATTTTGCAGGGTGGCTGGCTGCGCAGAACCAAGCGAAGAACCCTGTCACGAAGACGCTGCCGAAAGGCTTGGGCAAGGCGGGCACAGCGACCAAGAAGCCGGTGGTGGCAAGGACGCCGGGTGCGCCGAATGTGAAGAGGGTTGTTGTTGCGCAGCCGAAGAAGGAGATTAAAAAGGTGGAGCCGCAGAAGAATGAGGATGAGGATGAGGGTTGGGGGGATGCTTGGTGAGGCATAGCGTATATACCCTTGGGTTCGCACTGTGATTTTTCATGTATATGAGCATTGCGCTGGCGTTTGGGTAGACGGGCTTGGATAGTGGAGACAGGGAGATGAAGCAAATTCGTTCCTGAGTGTTGGACTGCACAGTGTCACACAAAGCTTTGCTAGCCACAATAGGGAGCAAGAGGGATAACCCACCTGGTAGCTCTTCCACACGCTGCAAGGTCGGCAGGCTGAGCTCTCCACGGAAAGTCTGTATGTCAAGCGGAATGTGTCACGCGGTTCATACGATTGGCAACACAATAAAAAGACACTCGCTCACACTCGCTCAACCGCTGCATTTGCCCTGGCACTTCTACAATCATCATAAACCCATGCTCTACATTTTATTCCACTGCAGGCGCTTCGGAGTTCGTTTACGCTAACTCCATCAAGATACGATGGAGTAGCAACCGTAGTGTAGACGGAAGGATTACGTACTCCCGACGATCACCCCACTGGCTACATGCCCCCACATCGAGCTCCTCTACACCTTCCTCCATATCGTTGATCGTTAATTATCAACTGAGCATATTATTGCTTTCACGTGCGTTCGCTACATCCTCCATTGGCTTCTCAACTTCCAGTACACTATCCTCCTGCTGTATTGGGACGGTCGCCTCCACACGTGGACTAACGGCTGGCAGATGCCCCTTGCCCATGAAACCTCTATAAATGCGCCAGTCTTCGAGGCATGTATTAGGATAGCATTTATATTACTGACACTCACTGTATCGACTTCATCTCAAAAGCAGATTGAACCTTGAAGCGTGCCCACCATGCATCTCTCTCACTTACTACTCTACCCGGTCATCGCCTCCGCAGCGAACATCCTGCTCTCGAACGACGATGGCTGGGCCGAGCTCAATATTCGCACCTTCTACGATGCGCTCACTTCGTCTGGGAACTCGGTCGTTATTTCTGCGCCTGCGGACAACAAGAGTGGCACTGGTGAGCAGATTCATCCCTTCCTGACTACATCTTCGGTTCCCATGATGAACACAATACTCATACAAAATCAAAAGGCTCCTCAGACTCGACTCCCCAAACCGTCGGCTCCTCCGGCTGCGAATTCTCCTCCTGCCCCGGCCGCTCCCCCGCGACCGGCTATAATGCCTCAAACACCCGCTTCAACTACGTAAACAGCTACCCTGTAACTTCTGTGAAATACGGCCTTTCCACGCTCGCCCCTAAATTTTTCAACGGGAATCCTGCCCTCGTCGTCGCAGGCCCAAACGTAGGTTCCAACCTCGGCTCTACGACTCTGGTATCCGGCACCGTCGGCGCAGCATCGTACGCCGCAAGCACCGGCGGCGTACCTGCGATTGCGTTTTCAGGAAGTAGCGGGAGCCAGATCGCGTGGACGACGAGCCCCGTGCCCGTGTACTCGAGCTTGTAGTAGGTTCCTTCCCCGCGCCCCTCCCAAACTTCGTACTAACACGCACCCAGCGCCACCCTCGCCACAACCCTCACCAACGCCCTCCTCGCCACCTCCACCCCCTACCTCCCCGCCTCCGTTTACCTCAACGTCAACTTCCCCTCCGCCTCGGGCTCCTGCACCTCCGCATCCAATTTCAAATTCGTCCTGTCCCGCGTGAACGCCGCCTCGGGCTCTACCGCCGCGGACGTCTCAACCTGCGGCTCCACACGCCTGCCGACAGAGAGCAAGGTCGTCGGAACCAGCGGGTGCTATGTGAGTGTGAGCGTGGGGAATGCGGCGACCAAGGGGGATAGCACGTCGGCGAATCAGGCGGTGGTGTTGGGGAAGCTGAAGGGGATTTTGAGCTGCTTGCCGTAAGTATTGTGGGATTGGAAGAGGGAACGGGATGAGCCGTAAGTATAGTTGGGTGGGCTGACTGCGTTGCGCAGAAACGGAACGGATGCTTCGAGTGCTGCGGAGGGTGGGACAAATGCGGATAAAGCCGGCTCTTTTCTAAGCCTGCTGTGGGTATCCTGCCTTCTATATAGCTTTTTCTTCTGACTGCATGATGATATCAAAGTCAGGACGTGTGATAGCAATATCGTCGTTCAAAAAGTCTGGCAGGTCAAGGTACAAATCCATACATTTACCCATCATTTCGTCCAAGTAACCACTCCTACCGTACTACCGCCATCTCCGGCCCATTACTCGCCACCTTTTTCGCCTCCGTAATCTCCAACCTCGACATCTTCAAGCCCGACAGATACTCCCCAAAGCTCCTCAATATCTTCTCCAGCCCCGCTCTCAGCGCCTCCCTCACTTGCTCCGCCTCCGCAACCTTCTTCCGCTCCGCCTCCGGCCTTGCCAACGTCTCAAAGTCCGTCCAGTGTATATTTAGACTCGCCATGTACTGGTCCAACAGCTTCAGCGCCTCGGTGAACACGCGGATAATCTGAGCTACCTCGTCCTGCATGCGGCCATATTCGTCCTCCAAAATGCTGGATACAGTGAGGTTCGTAAGCGCAGCGACGGCGTTGCAAAGAATGGAGAGGCGCGAGAACGGTGCGCCGGCCACAACGACGTTTGCGGTGCGGCGCAGGCTCTGGCGGAAGGGATATCCTAGCGGTGACGCCATGAAATTGGACCAAAATCCAGAAGATCGGGCCTCGACCTCTTCGACACCCCTTTGGAGGTGCTGGGAGAGCTCTGTCGTGCCTTTCATCAGGTACTCACGGGTTTTCACGCCGTTCTGTGGTGAAGAGAGGGACTTGGCGAAGTCACCGGCCACGTCGCCGAATTTCTCCCTGGTGGTAGTCGGAGGGAGACCGGTGCCTTTGATGGGTGCATCCTTGAGGGCTGGTGCGATCTGCGGGACGAGCGAAACGCTCTGGGCCTGGTCGCTCTTTTCAGCCTCACCCTTGGGCCTATACTGCGGATCCAAGCCCAATCTGAGACGTTCGCTGAGCAGTCGGACTTCGGAGAGGCAAATATCGACGACCTGCTTCAAAGTAGCACCATTCTTGCGGGTAGTTTCAAGGTACAGGGTCTTGCGGCGATCGGGGAAGGAATCTGTAATCAAAGCTAGTTCCCACAAAGCTACAGCCTTGATGGTGTCCTTCTTGGCTTTCAGACCTTTCAGCAGGCTGCCGTTTGGGTCCTTCGAATCGTTCGTGATTGGTTTGCCGTTCTTCAGGGGCGGCTGCGACATGTATAGATCGAAGGTTGTGTTGATAACTAGCCACATAAAGAAGATCAAGGTGCCCTCTGCGAAGAACATGCCAACCAAGGGCGCGAAAGGAGGTAAGGTAGCTGGTAGAGGTCGTGACTTGGATAGGCTGATCATGAGCACGTTCCTCGCCCAAGAATAATACGACGGCCATATGGCATAACGTATTCCACTGATGTAGACCAGAGCACCTACGAGCGACACAGCACCCGACCAGATGGCAGCGTTTTGCGCGAGCGGTGACAGCTTCTGGATAAGGACTTGATGAGGCCTCGCTGCTGGGGTTGGCGCAGCAGCTTCTTGTTCGGTCTTGGGCGCAATGGCAGGGAACTCGATCTTATCATAGTCGCGCCACAAATGCGCCCCGCTCTGGACCAACGCCAGGACAGCGAACATGAAGCGCAGGAACATTGGTCGCTCGTTGAGGCGAAGTCGCTCATAATTCTTTCCTTGGTCGGTGTAGCCGAGCTTCTTGCTCTCCGGCTGGGTCCAGATGTAGATCTCGCCGAACAGGAATGCCGAAAGTAGGTAGGAGACCACGACCATGACAGTTCTTGCAGTAAAAGCATACTTCCAAAAAGTGTCCTGGCCGGCTAGTGTGTTTCGTTGGCCAACGTGGTATTGGGCAATGCGGAGTATGTAGATGATGAGGGCGGAAACGAAGAGTAGGAGCGTTCGGACGCCAACGGGGCCTATGGGAAACCAGGACCACAGATCTGGTACAGCAATACCATGTCAGCGTCGGTGTGTGCAGGTGATGTGTTTACCTACAGTGTGTCCATGTTCCTTGCCATACTGAGATGACCCAGCACAGGCCAAGAGTGTATACGGCGGCATTGGTAAAGCGCTTGTGTAGGACTGGGGTTACAAAGTCTCGGTACGGTCGTATAGGCGCCTGCACCGGTATCGCGGGCGGCATGGTCGGACAGTCGAAGCGGGCGGGCGATGTGGCAGTTGTGCGGACTTATATCATCGCATGGGCAGCAAGGAAAGAATGGGTCCTGTATAAAGAAAAGGAAGGAGCGGCAGCGAGGGCTTGGAGCGTCGCGCGGGAGTTGTTTGTTGAACAAAACACTCGAGGTCGGCGGTCTGAGATGTTCCTGCACCGATTTATTAATAAGGCAGGCGCGATGGAGCACCTGCAGGGATGGCACGTGCGCGGTTCGTCATTGCCCAGGAGCGCCTGCCAACCTCCAGGTAGCGACCAGCACCCCCACGACAGCTTACGACGCACCAGGCAGCAGGCCAGCCATACACGAGTGCATTTCCCGACCTGATCGAGCTTCTCAAGCCGCGCATCATGTCGTTCCAACACTCGTCGGCGATGGAGTCGCAACCGACCACATGGCGAAGGGAGGACGATCCGCAGTACGCCGACGACCCAGAGTTCCGCGACTTCGCCTCAAAGCTCGGAGACGACCTATTTGCCCTTACCAGCGATGTCGCCCGCCTCGGGTCAGAGACAGCGAAACTGGGGACATCGCGCGAGACGCCCAGAGTGCGGGAGCGCGTCAGAACAGCCGTGGAAGAGACGTCAGACAAGTTCAAGGACATTGGAGAGCGGCTGAAGAAGTTGACAACTTGGCCCGATGTTGGGGTATGAACTTCCGCTGCAAGAGCGCAGAGTGCCGCTAACAGACACAGCCGTCGCAACGCTTCACCCAGTCAAAGCTCAGCCGTGAGTTCAAAGCGACCCTGGACGAGTTCCAGCAGCTCCAGCGCCAGGCCATCGAGAAGGAGAAGGCGTCCAACTCCGCCGCGCGAGCTGCTCTGCAAGATGCATCCTCGCCCACCGAAGAGCGCGGCGGTTTCGAGCAAGAGCAGCAGCAGGAACAGCTGCGATTGGCAAACCAGGACGACGTCGACTTCCAGGAGCAGATGATCATCGAGCGCGAGTCCGAGATCCGCAGCATCGAGCAGTCGGTCGGCGAATTGAACGAGCTCTTCCGCGATGTGGCGCACATGGTGCACGAGCAGGGAGCCCAGCTGGACATCATCGAGGAGAACGTGGAAGTCACCCATGACGCATCGCGGGGCGCGCATACTAATCTGAAGCAAGCGAGCAACTACCAGAAGAGCGCGAGGAGCAAGGCCTGCATCCTGTTGCTCATCCTCGCCATCGTTTTGGTCATCATCATCCTGGCGGTCCTTTTGTAAGGTTGCGAGTTTGGAATGTTGCATGAGCATTTTCTTTTGTTAGACACCGATACCACGGCGCTTGGGGCGTTGATTATGTTGCTTTTGATTTGGCGGCGATTGTAGCAGCACACTTTCGAGTACGATCTGGTAGTCAACTGGAATAGTACGGCTACGCTTGCACATCTCGACCAATGATTGACACGCGCCATATCAGATCGACATGTTGGATTAGGACGCTATCAAGAAGCTCATCTCTGGTTCAGTGACAGTATGTTAAGCTAGCTAATATCCTCGAAACCTCCCAAGGTAAACGGATCCCTCACACGACCTAAAATACCAACCCCCTCGCCTCGCGCACCGGTACCCAAACTTGGCACCGCTGCCTCCACCGCAGCCACCTCGCCATCCTCAATTAAATACAGCCTCGCATTTCCCCCGCCCAGCAGCGCCCCCTGGGTCGATGGCTGCCATAATCCATTGCCTTGCCCGTCGCGACAGGAGTTGGATGTCGTACTTCTTCACGAAGCCGTAAAGCTCCACCGCGTGCTCTCCCGCGCTCTTCTGCTCCAGCGCGTTCCAGTCGGTCCCAGTCAACACCTCCACAGCGTCCCAGTCGCTTCCCATGGTGCTGGACTGCCGCGCTTCGCTCATCAAGCCTCGCGGTATTGCTGGTGGACTCGTGCCTTTCAGCACTTTCAAAATTCCGGCGGAGACGGGCTCGCTAACGCCGAAGAGGTAGATCCGCTTGTCGAGGCGCTGCTCCGCAAGCATGGCGCCGTGTGCGTGGAATGTAGAGCCCGCGCGGCGCAGGATGAGGGATTGGCGGACTTGGAAAAGGGTGTGGGACGGTCCGATCTATAGTTTGTATCTCTGTCAAAATTCTAGCATCTACGCCTCCAATGCCATGCCCGGGTTTCAGGAATGAAATAGGTGCGTCTCGCTCGATGGCCTTGGTTCCTGGAACGTGAGAAGGCAAGCTGTGCGACATCCGTTCTCGCGGCGTGTGAGTTTATGTTTCTCAACACTCTGTGGAGCACCATTAGGCCTGTAAAGTCAGCCCGTACCCTCAGACATGATCATGTGCTGTGAGTATACATACGTGTTCAAATGCTTCATTTGTCATTCCTCTCGTCTTCCGTCTCGTTGGGGATCATATGGCCGGTCACAGACTTGCCGTCCTTGTTGAAGAACATGACAGTGAAGTGCGGCATCGGCTCGGTATCACTAGAGTGTAGCGAATCCCTGTGAATAGACATGAACTCTGAACCATTTGCAATGCCCATGGCCAAATACCAGATACTTACTTCACATGGATCTCTGTGGTACCCTTGGGGACCTGCTCTTTGGGTTTGACCTGGAGAAACTTCTGGAGGCCATTAGCCACCACGGCAGCGTACTCGTCGGTGCGCGTCTAGCTACTGGTCTCCTTGATGGCTCCCAGTGCGCAGTTGACACCGTTAACGGTGGCGTTAGTGTAGAACTTCTCATTGTAGATGACCTGCCCGGCGCTACGAATTGCTGTCTGGCCAAAAGCTCCGATATCCATGGTGTCGAGGCAGGGAGGTCGCCTTAGGGAAAGCTCTAGAGATTGAGGGGATTTTTTCTCCCATGGGATACTCAATCGTCGAGTTTTCTAGGCATCATCGCTCAGAAGTCAGGTTATCATTCTCCATTTGCTATCTAGTAGCGTACTCAGATGCTGCCTTGAATCGAGTATATGAGTGATGGAATAATAACCCATGTCAATCAGAATCGAGTACTCCTAGCCGGCTTGCAAACAAGTGAAAGGCAGCCGACGAAGAAACCTAAGAGATCGTGGGATTACGCTATTCTGTGTGAAGGGGATAGGCGACATTTGTGACTGCGACCTTCTCGATTCTTTCCATACACAAACCGGAACCGGAGATGGAGGACCGAGAAGAGAAGCAAGACTTGATCCGCAACAAGATGAGCTAAAGATGCCATGTCATCATCTTCCAAGCCATGCTTCTAGCACGTATGTTGGCTTGCAGGAGCGTCTTTCGAAAGCGCAATGTCACGGTTGATGATCTTCGACTCGTAGCAAAGGCTGAGTACTACCCTGCCAGGTAATACCTCACTAGAACTGACCTCAGGCTATGCATCTCCAAGAGTCAGGCCAGCCCCTCTCTCACCCACAGCAAACATCACGTCGAACTAAACATACAACAATGAAAATCTCCTCACTCAATCAAAAGCATTATTTGCCCTCTTCTGCACCGGGTATCTACGACACGGGGCGTGCAGACAACCCCTCCCCCATCCCACACTTCCCTACGACGACGAGACAGCCTCGCCCTTCTCATCAATAAGACTCTCCTCCGTCTCCACAGGCCCCTCTCCAACACCAGTCAGGATTATCCTGCTAACACCGTCCTTCAGCAGGTCAACTGCGACACCCGCCTCCTCCTTGACCTTCTCCGCCGCGGCAAAGTTTCCCTCAATCTTCTCCCCCCGCTCGCCCTTCCACCCATCCTTTTCTCCAAGAAGAGTCTTGAACAGCCCTGCTACCTCCTTCTCGTTCTCCTCAAGGTAGTAAACAACGGCGTTTGGCCCAGCATCAAATGTGTATGCTGCGATGATGCGGCCTGCTGCCGCGTTGATGCTCTCTACCACCTTGATCGCCGCGCGCGATACATCGTTGAGATAGAAAATAGGGGGGTACGTATCGAGACACGTGGCGTGGAAGCTATTGCTGTCCATCATGGTGACCTTGCCGAAGGTTTCGAAGTCCTTGTTCTGGATGGCGTTCTGCATCTCCTGCATCCTCCTGGGCACAGTCTCGCTAGCACGAGAGGCGAACAGGGTGGATGTGGCGACTGTGGTCTGCATGCCCGTCGTGCTGCTCACGCCCTTCTTCGCGGCCGAGACAACGAGGATGACGGCACGCATGGACGGCCAGTGCGATGCGGGCGCGACTTGGAAGGCTACGCTGTCAGAGCCGTCAGAGGCCGAGCCCTGCTCCCACCCGACGTACCCGCCGAAGAGGCTGCGGCAGGCAGACCCAGAGCCCTGGCGCGCAATGCGGGAGAGATCCGTGGGCGAGGACGGCAGCTTGTAGAGATTCGCGATGGCGCGAACCAGGGCTGCGAAGCCAGCCGCCGAACTAGCGAGCCCAGCGGCAGTGGGGAAGTTGTTCTCGGAGACGATCTTGAGGGGGAGGGCAGCGAGCTTGGGGAGCGAGGCGTCGGAGTCCTCGAGCTGGGAGCGGAGGGCGCGCAACTCGCGGAAGCAGGCTTGGGTGCGGGCGCCAGAGACATCTTGCGGGGCGCCATTGAGGAGGAGGGAGTCTTCCTTGGAGTAGGACGCGGAGCACGAGGCGGTGGTGTGGGTGCGGAGGTCGGACTGCGAGAGGGTGACGGAGAGGGACGAGTTGGTGGGGAGGTTGAGCTTGGGGTCGCGCTTGCCCCAGTACTTGATGACGGCGATGTTGACCGGGGCGGTCGTGCTGGCGCGGTGGATATCTGACATTGTCGTCGTTATGTTCTTTGTGTTATGGAGGAAAGTCGAGGGGTTGTTTGGCGGGGTCCGGTGGATTTTTGTTTATGCAGGGTCTCAGTGGGAGGGACTGGGGTTGGAAACTCGACAAAACAGGAAATTTCCGAGATCTTGAGCCCCACGATGGGAATTGCAATGTCGAGGAGGACAGAAGAATGGAACCCCCTGACACGAGTAATTGCCCAAGATATACCCCTCCGAAGCGGTGAACTGGCGTTCTCCTCCCCCAGCCAGCGCGCCCAATCACAAGCCCCCTAACTCCCGACCTCCGTGGCCCAAGCTCAACTTTTCTCGAACCTAGATCGCATCGCTGCCATCCGGAGGTCCGCAAACCAGTCCCACCACAGATCCACCTTCACAATGGCGGCACAAGACTCCCCCGACGCCTGCCCCGTCGACCACAAGACGCGCGAAGCCTGGCTTGCCCAAGCAAAGAAAGCGAACCCCAATGCCACCGCACCGCCCACACCACCGCACGCCGCCGCCCTCGCCACCCCCGGCTGCGACTCCTCCTCCATGGAAGCATCGCAATCTGCCCACCCCCCCAAAGCCATGGACTCCATTCACCGCCTCGGCACCCAGCGCGAAATCAGCACCATCCCGCGCGCGCTCCCCACCGACGACGCACCCGCCTCCGCGCGCCCCGCCAACAGCGAGAAGGACACCGGCGCAGACAAGAAGACGGGCAACTGGATTTATCCTAGCGAGCAGATGTTCTTCGAGGCGATGAAGCGCAAGGCGTACAACCCCGACGAGACGGACATGCACACCATTGTGCCGATTCACAATGCCGTCAACGAGCGCGCGTGGAAGGAGATCAAGGAGTGGGAGAAGGGGCGGGGGAGTGAGGCGTGCGGGGGGCCGAAGTTGGCGAGCTTCTCCGGGTTGTCCTCGAGTCTTACGCCGCGCGCGAGGCTGAATACGCTGATGGGTTATAAGCCGCCGTTCGATAGGCATGACTGGGTTGTCGACCGGTGCGGGACCAAGGTCGAGTATGTGATCGACTTCTATGCAGGCAAGGATGAGGGCCGGGCAGGAAAAGATTTGAACTTTTATCTGGATGTGCGGCCCAAGTTGAACAGTTGGGAGGGTGTGAAATTACGGGCGTTCAAGTTCATTGGCTTGTAACCTGTGTCTGTATGGTGTATGATACGACTGTCTTGATATCATCTGTAGGCTGGCTGGGGTGTATGATTGTATCTATAGTGGAAAGAGGAGATGTTTCACTCCTTAGCTCTTGGGAATTATGAGAAAGCTTGGGCTAAGAAAACGTAGTTCGGCAGACGTCCATGAACGTTCTGGAACACATTTGTTCATGTAGACCTGATGAAACGTCGAGAAGACGCGTAGTGGTAGGCTTGTCAAGCAACTGTAGTGAGAATTGTCAGACGAAGCAGCTCGATCCAAGTATAGAAATTCCAGGCGCAGATGACCACCTTTCCCAAATGCAGATTAAGAGATCGTCTCTGACCTGCTGGAGTAATGAAGTGAATGATCCAGACTTCGCAACCAGTGCCTCACGTGAAGTATTGAATATTTTCATCTCAGGACCCACGTGCCTGGCTTACCATAGTTCACTTGTTCCGGTTCCATGGTTACCTTCCATAATTTGACGTGTCTTAAATTCTCGGAATGCTATGCTAGAGACGATGGTGTGGTTTTCACGTTTGTTAATAGATACGGAGCCTTTGAGAACGGAAACCCTGGGGCTGTATAAACGATATATGCCTTATATATAAACCTTGAAGGTTGCTCTTAATACTCCACAAGAGTCTAGAGGTTGTCCTTCATCGCGGAAAGTACGTCCGGTGATCAGACAACAACTTTTGAGTGGTAGCGAACCATAAGACGGCTTGCCGTGCCAACAACATAGATCGATCTACCCGCCGAACGCAGAATTGTATCACAAAACATGCTCCGCTACTCTCAAATTTCGAACAACCACACAAATCAAACAAAGTTTTCACAACGACACCTACAAATCACAATTATGCCTCAACCAAACGCAGATCAGAAAGTTGTGCCCGGTCGTGCCGGCTACCGGTAAAGTCTCACGCCTTGATACAGGCGCCATCTAACCTTCAATCGCACATCACCTCGCCGTGGCGATGCAAATCTGGTCATGTTGAAGATCGGAGATTCTGGCGAGCTATTCGCTCTCAGTAAGAGCACGCTCATGGAAGTATCGAAGGTCTTCCCAACGTCCTTCAAACACGACGAAGAGATATTCCGCAGAAATGAACCCATATGCCTCCACAGCGAAGAGGTACAAGTGGTTAACATGTTCGTTGACTGGTTCAGAAGTTGATTCTCCACCGTTGCATATGGCACTGATTTCATCAAACTCGATCGCAGATCCGAGTATATATGTGATATATTGAGAGGCTGACTGTGGTTGCGTATGATATCGCGCTCTTTTCCATTGGCATGCCTTTTCATAGTCTATCCCATTCTATCGCATCCTGATCTATGGTACTCAACCTTAAGCTCTAAGTTAAAGCTATCAGTGGGACCATGCTGCTGGGCTTGGAAAGCTACTACAATGCCGACATACGCGGTGATTTGTAGCTGCAATGTTACGGAATGTGTATCATCACGATGCGAAATATTCGATGAAAGTGCAAGTGACAACACGTCTCAAACGCTCACGAGTAATGGCAAACATTTCCCCAAGCCCTTGAGGGCGAGATTAGAAGTAGGATGTTTTGGCTAAACTCAAAGGGCGTGTTCAACACCCCTACATCATGTCGGTACAATCGTAAAATGCCCCCTACCCATCGCCAGCCCCAACTCTAGTAGTCGTTGACCCGTCCACCAACCCGCCTTCCAATTATCGTCTATTGCGCCCATGAACTAGCTCGTCCCGGACACAGCCAGCTTCATCAGATGGTCCATGAATGTTTGCAAGCTAACATCATCCGTGAAGATGGTCTGCGCCGATGCACCACCATACTGGCCCTGGCTGGTATGCGTTGTCGACGGGTTGAGCTTCGAGAGTAGGAAACGGGCTTGCGAACCACCAGCGTCGCAGACAATGAACCGGGGAAGTGGGAAGCGGTCCTGGATGAGATCCCTGGCATCACCCTTCGGTGCATCGAGCAATGCGGCGAAGTTTTCGTAGCCCTCCTGTTCTTGGTAGCCAGCCTTGCGCCATTCTGCCATGGTCTCGCCGTGGAAGATGAGTATGTGGAAGAAAGTGTCGAGGAGAAGGACGGTCTCGGACTGGATGGAGGAAGAATCGAGCAGAACTGGTTGGCCGCCCTCGTGGTCGAAGCCGTAGCTGTCAAGGGTAGGCTGGATCATAATGAGCGAGTTGCTGACGTCCTCGTGGTTCAAAACGTGTCGATAGAAAGCGGTCTCATCGGGCGAGTTGTTGAAAACCTGAAGGAACTGTGATCGGCGCAGGTGGAACATGAACTGTGGGTAGAGGGTGAAGTTCTTCTCAAGACGGAAAGACGAGGGGTCATCTTTCCTGTACTCTGCAAAACGGGCGCATAACCGAATCAGCATTCGGTCTACCCATCGGAGGACGTCGGGGCCATCATCAACCTCAGCCTTGAATACTGCTATTCTTGACATGAGGACAGCGGCTGCTTCTTGATCGAACGACTGAGCGATGGCTGGGTCACCCGAAGGTCCGCTGAGGTTACGTGCAACAGTCGTGACTGTTAAATGTTAGTCTTGATATACTCCAAAGAAAAACATTTTACGACTTACCCCTCAAGTGGAAGTTGCCGGCGGAATGCTGGTAGTAGGTCAAAAACTGCATCATGCCCTTCTGCGGACCTGCTGCCAGCTGGTTTGGCCCGCCTTGACCGGCAATTTCGAAGTAGACACCGTAGCTAGACTCTGGATTGATACCGCACATCTTCCACAAGCATGTGTTGCCAATGCCGCACTCAGTCTCGCCCACGGATGATGATTTCTTGTTGCTGGAGACGGCATGACCAATCAAGCCAGTGACCTTCAGCTCTTTGGTCGTGAGGACCTCAAAGTCGGCATTGAAACCCATGAGCAGGTTGTCGTCTTCGTCCTTGTTGAAAACACGGGCGAAAGATTGCTTGTACATGGAAGACGTAAAGCTGTCGGTCAGGACCATATGTCCACCGGTGGAATTGACCAGACCCTTCATCTCGAGAAGACCGACCTGGTCCAAGCAACCAGCAAAAATATCCACGATGTGGCCGTTGTGTGCGATGCGCTTTGCGAGAGTGTCGTAGAACTTCAGCGCCTTCTTGTAGTACTTGATGTTGTCACGGTCAATGTCGTGGTGCGATCGGATGGGTTCCCTGAGTTCAGGTCCAACGACCATTCCCGGGCCCTCAGTAGCAGGGCCACCGCTGAAGAGCATGATCCTGCTTCCCATGTTCTTGAACGAGGTCTCCAAGAGTCCAGCCGCTACGCTAAGTGCAACACCAGTGCACCTCAGCGCTCGCTTGTCGTTGGCCACGGGCCAGGGGTCCTTCTGAAGCTGCTCGAGAGCGTTGGTGAGTTGGAACTCGCACTGCGCAACGGGCAGGAGGAAGCGTGCGCCGGGCCCGCCAATGGGCATTGGAGGTCGCCCGGGCTGCTGCTGCATGTTGGCGCGGGGTGCGATCTGACCGAGGCCAAGCATTTCCTGGACCTGCTGCGAAGTGTAATCCTTGTTGCCCCGGAAGACGTATGATTTGGCGCATTCGGTGTATCCGAGCTCGTGAACTTGGGTCTACACAACGTCAGTTGCATCCCACTCCAAGCATGCCTGCACCTACCATAGTTCCAAAAGTGATCAAGCCAACCAGCGCGTACTGCGGAAGCAGACTCAGGCTCATGATAATAGAGTCCTTGAGTGCCTTCAAGCCATCCTCCTCTTGGCAAGTATCAACAACGAAGAGGAAGATGGGCGGTGAGGGCGCCGGTCGCGCAAGCTTGTACTCAATGGTGGTGTTGCTCGGGTGCAGCTCTGGAGGGATCTGTTCGGCTGAGATGTCCTTGTAATGCGCCGGGAGCCCATTTCGCTGCATGCAGAATGGACACTGCCAGACCTTCGCGCGCATGTCGACCTGGCAGAAGGGGTTGAGGACGGCGCGGCACGGCGCCTTGCAAACGATGGGTTCATACTGGAGGAGCGGGCTTGCGGTCTCCTTCAGTGGGGTGTAGAGGGCTCCGATGGGCACTGCACAAGTCAGTCGCTGGCATGCTTCGATCATCCACCGCTCTTACCAACTAGCCGCGATGCTTCCTGCCCAACGTGTTAGCATTCCATTTTGTCAACACGTAGTCGCAATGCCATACCATGCGCGAGCTGGGAAAAGTGTTCCAGCTGAGCCTGATGCCATCCCTGTCCTCAATGTCGCTCCACTGGTCCTTGAGCGCCTCGTAGTCGGCCATGGTGTCGAACGTGCAAGGTGTCTAGGAAGTGCGGTGGGCTGTGGTGGGACCAAGCGGCGCCCACAATTCGAATTCGCGGGGCAGGCGTGGAGGTGTGGAGGCCGTCGTAGGGTGCGAGTCGAGGGCGCGAAGATGAATATGTGAAGTACTGCCTGGGTTCCGGACAGGCTGCAGCGGGTGCGGAAAGTTGCAACGTGCCCCAAAGCCAAACCGCGATCGAGTGGATTCGGTGACCAGAGCCCATGCGGCCAGATTGAGGTTCGGCAAGCTCCAAACCCAGCCCGGACTAGCGCCTGGTCCAAGCTCCGACGTCGTCCAAAACTCCAAATTTTCCCGCTCACTCTTCTCTTCTTCAGACAGAACGCCGGCAAACAAACACTACTTACGGCAGCCTCGAGTGTCCATCACGAGGCTGTTTTCGCGCCGAGCGTAGAGAAGACAAGGCCCATGGCTGGGCGCCCGGTCTGGAGATCCCTATTCTTGGGCTCCTGTGATATTCTGGGAATCAGCAGAGGTTACATCGCACTACATACAATACTATTTGGCATTGTATGGCATTCAACTCTTGTGCCGTTGCCGTTATGAAGACTGACACCCGTTGGCGACGGCAGCGACGGCAGGACCAATTGTTACCGCGCGCTGGTCGTCAATACCTTACAATCTACATTATGATGACAGCAAGGCTAACGCTTGATCTCGTCCCAACTCAGTGCATGTCTTCTTGTGATCACTGCACCAGGTCCCCTTGTTCCCATGACCCATCTGTCTCTTCGATAGGTTGACTCAAATCTCCTAACGTCCCTCACTGTTGGTAGAAAAACACTGTTTGTCGAGAAATAAGCGAGGTACTTATCTTCAAGCAGTTCAAATCTCTAACTACACATCTCAATACTGTGTAAGTACTCTTAAGTTTCGCACTTGAGCTATTTCTATACACTTTAAAATGCTTCTAGCTAAAGATTACGCACAGCTTACAGCGTTATTGCTCATCTTGCCAAAGGCCTCTTTTTATGCTAAAAATAAGAAACCCTCCCTATGAGACTTACCATAAGCTTTACCCTGTATGGAACATATAAGTAATAGGACCTGAGTATTAGAATACTACTGGGATAGTAGGAAGCTATTAGGAGTTCCAGGTGTTGTTGCAGCCTCTCCCTCCAGATAGGCCGGGAACCTATGCTATCCTATTAGAACGGGGCAATGTGCCTCTTTCAACATAATGCCATCGCAAGCACTGACGACGCTCAACGAGGAACAAGCAGAGACCCGTCGGGTACCTCAATTTCCCCCACCAAAAAGCACCTGTTGGGTCGACTTCTACATTGACTGACAGTTCCCGCCATTATTCTCTGTCCAATATGAGTATATCCACCGCATCGTCATCTGGATGATAGTGCTCTTCTGAAGCCGCGTAGAGTGCGTTGCCGTACCATCCACCCTGCGCGTTGACCTCGGCGCCCTTGTCGAGCAGCAGCTTCATAATGGCTTTGTGGCCTCCTGCTGAAGCCGCCTGGAGTGCGTTGCCG